CGGGCCCCCGGCCCCCCCTGGATCCGCCACTGCATAGCTGCCTATACTACTCTTACTAAAATTATGCATTAGCTAAAAAACACGGTAGACGTGGCTCCTATGTTAATCAGTGATTACGATATATGGCGAATTTCTAACGACGTGACGCGTAGGATGCTTTGAAAGCACTCAGGCAATTATTGGGAAACTAATCACGTAATGGGTAATCACTACGGTTGCTCCAGCAAATCACTTCTCGCTTACCTTCTCAAGCTGCCTACTGCAGTAGATGTAGTAGTTGCTAGATTGTGAGCTTGAACCTAGTTTTACTTGATGGAGTAATCCTTTTAGCTGCTCACTCAGAAAGCTAAACTGGTAGCTCTTTTCAAACGCTGACGGCGACGTCGATGGAGCATAAAATAGAAGCGACTGCACGAAGACTGTGACGGATATAATTATAAAGCTGACTACTAGTGCAGGCTGCTGTGTACAGATTCCCATGATCTATGATTCTCCGAATTACCGGCCCGAGCCTGACATCTACGCCTAAATTTAAACGTGTGATGTCATTAGTGAGGTAAGGCAGATTATATTCATTAAGCATTGTGCTAGGTCGATCTGATTAGCATTGTATTTTGTTGCATTCGGAACATATGTTTACTGTCAGGTAGGTATACAGCGACAGAACTGCAGCATGGCAGATATAGCATCACAAAAGATTGTATTAATCTATTTGCGTGATGAGAAAGGGTCTTGTAATATTACACTTTTCTCACGTTTCGTGTATTTGCCCTATGTCGCTCGAAAATCGTTATCGAAATCTATGCTGGAATATAATGTTGTATATAATACATGTAGGCCTACATGCAACTAACATTTGTCGTTTTGGCGTTTCCTGCAGAAAAATTCTAAATTGTATTATATTATTTAAAAAAATAAATCAAATCTCAAATTTGCCAATCAAAACATTTAGCACAAACATTTTGCCTCCTTATTGTGCTTTCGTCGTTTTGCAACCTGTCGCGTGACATGGATGGATATTTTCAACTCATTCTTCGTAGCGCTTCCAGAACACTGAGCTTCTTGATATCGGTTTCTTGATGCGAAAAAACATTCTCTTATTCATTTACCCGATGATGCAGCAAAAAAAAAAAAAAAAAAAAAAAAAAATTGTAATGTTCAACCCAAGTTTGTCGACGTTAAAGGAAATCGACTTTAATTGTCAGTTACAATTTAAAGGAATGCTATGTTCTTTTTGTTTAGTGAAACTAAAGTGAACATGAAAACCATCGTTAATTGCAAGCATGTATTATCTATTTCGAGTTCAATTATTCCAAGCCCCGAGGCAGAACACTTGTTATGACATGCATAAAACAAAACAAAAACATACTCAGCACTGAGCTGATCGAGGAGCGTGTAGCCATGTACAAATTGTGGGAGGGGAGGAAGGAAATAGGGCTTTCGGCAAAGACATTATCAAAATAATTATGCACATACGCTCTAGAATATCAAAAACGGTAATGTCATCTACCTCTTTCCTTTCCCACACATCTGTTTATCATAATCATTGCGACATAATTAACAATTTTATTCACCCATTCGTTGATGTTTAATTTATACTTTTTAGCGGCGTTGTATTACGTGTATTTACATGTATACTTGTTAGTAAATATTATATTGGACTTTATACCCCCATTACATGCTCAGTATAATATTCCGAATAGTATTTCAAGCTCGATTTATAATGTCTATTCATGTTTTGGAAGAGTGCTTCAAAAGAAATCTTGGCTCGGTAAGCAAATAAAATAGTTCGTACTTCGTTTTTTTGTTTATACACGATAAGGTATGACTGTATGCCAATGGCAAAACACAATTGCAAGACTGATGGAAACGTGCATTGAGATGTCCAATCTCGCACAGAATATCACTATAACACTATTACAAGTTGATAAATGAGAAAGAGAGATAGAAAGATAGAGAGCGAGAGAGAGTGAGAGGGAGTGGGAGAGAGAGAGAGAGAGAGAGAGGGGGGGGGGGGGGGGGGGGAGGGAGGGGGAAGGGAGGCCCGGGAGGGAGAAAAGGGAGAGTGGGCTGGGGAAAGGAGAGAGAGAGAGAAAGAGAAAAAAGATAAGGAGAGTTGAAGTGAGCAGGAAAGAGAGAAAGAAAGAGAGAGAGAGAGAGAGAGAGAGAGAGAACGTAGACGGTATTCATCATGATAGAAAAATATAATCTGCTTCAGAGGCGGGTGCAAAGGAGATTTGGGTAGGCTCCCCCCCCCCCACACACACATCCCCAAACAAAAAGAGGTACATAATTTGTGGACTTGTGCCCTCCCCCCCCCACCCCCACTGCCACAAAATTATAGATTCGCCACATGTCAGGTAATTACATTCTGGATGTATCACATAAGTTCATCAGGTACCTCCATCAATATTTGACCATGAGTCACAGCCACACTCGATTTCATTTAAAATAAATATTGATTTCGTGTAAGAATGATAATGTTTGTCCAGATATTTGTTGCACAATGAGCATATTATATACTGGCATTTTAGTTTTGAGACTAACGGCAGGGGGGGGGGGGGTGGAGAAAAAAACCCACCCCGAAACAAAATCAAGCTGCCAGTCTTGAATCAATTGTCTGTTGTGCATAAAGCTCCATCCGTCTAAGTTTTATTTATATCTCATTTTCATCTCGTTGTGAAACAGATACTATGTGTTTGCAATAAAGAAAGAATAAATATGGTTCACAAAATAACGCTAGATTATATAGCGGTCATAATGCTTATATGAATTGTGTAATCAAATACCACCTTCTCGTTCATTACAGTAACGAGAAGTAATGAGAGAGGGAAATTGAGATTATCATAAGAATGCGAATTTCTTTAAAAGGGAAAATCCCCTTCTAACCCTATATTAATTTTCCCTCGGGATAAAAGTAATACGCCCGGCCAAAATTTTTGAATCCGTCTAATCTTCTTTTTAATCATTCCTATACAGTATTATTAAATACTTTCTCACCAGGTTTTATTCATCTTCGATTTGATTTGTTTTCGTTTGATTTGATCTGACTTTATTAATCACGATCGCAAAAAGATGTTATGATCATGTGGTAGGCCTATACGAAACTTAGAATGCTTTTAAAAAAAAATATATCATTTTGATATTTTTCTCGATTATAAAATATGCTATTTGGTCCATTTTCCATAAACATTTTCTGAATTCAGTTTCCTTTCTATACCTGAACTTTATATTTTCAGAGGCTTAAGAGAAGGTGAAAGGCAAACTTGAAAAGTCAGGGTTGTATTATTGTAATTTTGTTGTCACTGGTTGTCTGGATATCTTTAGATTCTTCTTATTTCATTTCAAGTCAAACATATTGATATATTTTTTTTAAAGAGGCGCGGGTCGAGAATACGAAGAAGGCAGGGAACGAGAAATTTTGATTTTTGTTTTGTTTTTGTTTTATCTGACGATGCCGTTACCAGGTTGACGGACTCGCACGATATTTTGTTTGCCACCCCTCCCCCCCCCCACTCCCCAGTAAAACAAAATCATTGATCCGCCTCTCTAGTATAGGTCTATATTGCGGCAAAATGTAATCACATTTTTTTTCCAGGTGGGGGAGGGGAGATGCTCTTTCTTCTCTAAAATATTACCTCATTAATCATTATATAAGCATCTTAACGTTTTCCAAGAGGCAATTAAAGGGGGCGGCACAGGCGGCACAGGCGGCACAGGCGGCACAGGCGGCCACTTTACAAAGTCAACCTAATATATTGACGTTTCAGTTTAGTCATTTTGAAGCTGTCCTCAATTTTACCTCGCAAAACATCTTCAAAGTGTTGGGAGCTCAAAAAATGTGTGGGTGAAATTTCCCCTAAATTGTATAAAAGTGTGAGAGGGTGTAAGTTTAGCACAAATTTCTGCTAGGATTTTCAAAACAAATGTGTTTGAAGACGAATATTGATGAAAGAATACATAATTGAGGTTTTCTGCGTACAACAGTAAACCCAAATATGACTTTCTGTGATCAATATCCGTCTTCAAACCTATTTGATGTGAAAATCCTTGCAGAAGTTTGTGTTAAATGACATTCACTTTCTTACACCTCATTGCCACTGTACATAAAATTATTTAAGTAAATTTGGGGCAAATTTGGGGCTCCCAACACTTTATATAGAGGGGGTTTTATAAGTTAGGAAGTCAACCAAATAAATATTTTGGAAGAGAGGTGAAAAGTGGATGCATGTATTTCACAAACATTTGGTCAGGAGGAGGGGGGGGGGGGGGGGGGGGGGGGAGGGGGGGGGGAGGGGGGGGGGGGGGTTGGTGACTCACAATGCACACATGACATACAGCCTATATCACCACTGGAAATAAGCTGTCGAGCTCATTTCGTGGCGGGTTATCCAGTTCAAGCTGACTTAATATTTTGATCTGCTATTCTTGTATATTGTTGTATATTGGACCCTTTGCGAATAAAAACCAATCAATCAATCAATCAACACATGTCCCCCACTCCCCTAGCTCAGCTATGGGTCCATGCATGGTAACCAATTGAATATAGTCCCTTGTTCAGATTTGCCCCCCCCCCCCTGACCCCCACCTCAATAGTCCGAATCTGAACAAGATCTATTCGAACCATAGAGATCTTATTAAGTATATATCTCTATGATTCGAACGTATCACTCCTGCCTGTTCTTTTTTTTTGGGGGGGGGGGTGTTTTATTTTGTCATCGTCCGGAAGAGGTGAATATGGACTTTTAGATTTGCACAACGACAATGTGGATTGCTTACGGTCGACGTCCTTTTAATGCACTGCCTTGAATGCAATGGACGTCACACGTATCAGTCCACGCAAATCTAAAAGTTCTAGAATACATAACACAAAAGTTGAAAGGCTCCTTATTTGTGGTCAGTGGGCATGGGATCACGGGTGCACGGCCAGCTAGCCGTACGGTAAATGTACGCAGAGCTGAGCTAGCTAGAGAGAGTGCAGTAGGCGTCGGTCATACATGTATTTCACCATTTGCAGTCAAGAAGAAGACATTAAAAACCTCAAGCTAGCTCGTGCTCGCGTCATTAGTTTCAGTCATGGATTCCCTGTTTGGTGGTAATATTCAGGTGAGAAGCGGTATAGAAAATAAGAAATAACACACGAGTCTAGGACTTACATGCAATTTTTTTGAATCCAATGCAAGTACCTTGCAACAGTATGATGAAAATGATGATCAAATTACAATAAATTGTAATTATTGTACCGAAAAGCAATTCTTTGATATGGTCTGTGGTTCAGAGAGTAATGAACTTGCTTTAATTCACTTGAATATACGTAGTATGTGTAAGAATTTTGAAAATTTCAGTGTTTTCACCAAGCGTATATCAGGATTCACAGCAATAGGTGTTTCTGAGACCTGGTTTCCTTCTGAATTCGATACTAGCTTATATTTAATTCCTGGTTATAATTTGGTTTCTAATAATAGACGAGATAAAAGAGGTGGAGGGGTGGCTTTATACATTCCATCTGTGATGGATTACCAAATATGTCATGAGCTTACCATTATGAATGATGTGTTAGAAACTATATTTGTTGATGTTTTCATACCAGGAAAACGTAATGTTGTTTTAGGTGTCGTTTATAGGCCGCCACAAAGTAATCTAAATCTCTTTATAGATGAGGTACACAATATTTTGTCAAATCCATTACTTAATAACAAGACAATTTTTCTCATGGGTGATTATAATCTGAACCTGCTCACTTGCGATGGAAATAGCTGTATTGATGACTTTTTGAACCTGTTGGTGTCCTTTTCCTTGATGCCTTTGATCACTAAACCTACAAGAGTGTCTGAAAATTCCTCTACTCTCATTGACAATATCTTCACTAATTTGCAACCCTTTCCTGATGCTGGCATCATAATTTCTGACCTATCGGACCATTTTCCTATTTATGCCAAGATGCCATTGAGCAAACCCTCTTTCATTACTAGGCAAAATAAACATGCCCGTAGGAGCAATCCCGAAAATATTGCAAAGCTTAAGGAAGCCCTAATTGCAACTGACTGGAGTGATGTTTTACTTGATCAAAATGTTGATAGCTCTTTTGAAAACTTCTTTCGAAAATTTATATTGCTGTATGATGAGAATATACCTATATGTAAAAGAGATAGTGGAAATCACAAGAAGATCCCCCGAATGCCATGGATTACAAGATCGCTATTGAAATCGATCAATAAGAAAAATAAGCTATATTATAAATACAAGACAACTAAATCAGAACAGTCACGCTTGAATTACACCAGATATCGGAACACTTTAACTACAACATTACGTGTTTCAAAGAAAAATTACTATTCCACTCAGTTTCAGGCAACCTTGAATGATATAAAAGGAACATGGAAGGTAATCAAAAATATTTTTAAAAGCAACAGTAAAACATCCAGCATAAGATCTCTGCAAATTGATGGAGAATTAGTAGATGATACAAAATCTATTGTTGAAAAGTTCAATAATTATTTTGTAGTATCGGTCCGAATTTGTCGGAGGGTATTCCAAATTGTGATAAATCATTCCATGACTTCTTGAAAGAACCTAACCAGCAAAGTTTGTTTTTAATGCCAACAAATGAAGTAGAAGTACTCAGTATAATACATTTTTTGAAGATTGGAAAAAGCCCAGGCTGTGATACTATCTCCAACAGTCTAGTTAAAAACTTAGCAGTAGAAATCGTACAGCCATTAGTGCATATATTTAATCTGTCACTGACAAATGGCATTGTACCCAGGGAGATGAAAGTGGCAAAGGTTGTCCCAATTTTTAAGAAGGGTGACCCAAAACTATTGACGAACTACCGACCCATTTCCCTATTAACATCTTTCTCTAAAATTCTTGAAAAACTTATCTATGTGAGAACTGTAAAGTTTCTCAATTCAAGTAAAATGTTTTCCAACTTTCAATTTGGCTTCCGTGAGAAACATACTACCACCCATGCTATACTGCACTTTATCAATAAAGTTTCTTATGCTATGGACAACCACATGCACACACTTGGAATATTCTTGGATTACTCTAAGGCATTTGATACAGTAGACCACAAAATATTGTTATGTAAATTATCCCATTACGGGGTCAGGGGTGCTGCCCTGGATTGGTTCAGGAGCTATTTAGCTGACAGACAGCAATTCGTATCCATAAATGGTTTTGATTCAGAGTTACAAAATGTCAGCTGTGGAGTCCCACAGGGATCACTTCTTGGTCCTCTTTTATTTATTCTTTATATAAATGATTTTCAATATTCTTCTGATGTATTATCCTTTATTTTGTTTGCAGATGATTCAAGCATATTTTTTTCACACAAAGATGCACAAGTTCTTGTGCAAACAGTTAACTCAGAGTTGCGCAATATTACCTCATGGATTCATGCTAATAAACTGTCTCTTAATCTTACAAAAACCAATTATATGATATATAGCAATTCGCTCAAGATGTTGCCCGGCGACATTATGTTCAACGGTGTTCTGATAGACAGGGTAACATCAACTAAATTTTTAGGTCTTTATATCGACGAACAATTGAAGTGGAAAACTCATGTAAATAATCTATGCAAAATATTATCAAGGAATACTGGTGTAATTCGTAGGTTGAAGTCTACTCTTCCTAAAAGCATATTACTTATCTTGTATTCAACTTTAATTCTACCTTATATTAATTATGGTGTGCTTGCTTGGGGCAAATCTCTAATAACACAATTAGATAAAATATTCTTGGCTCAAAAGAGGGTAATAAGAACAATCTGTAATGCTGACTTTCGTGCTCATACAAATCCTCTTTTTTATCACCATAGGATTTTAAAGGTAGAAGATATTTATTATATGCAATTGGGTTCCTTAATGTATGATCTCAACTCAGGTGTACTGCCACTGGCATTAGCCAAGATTTTCAAGAGAAACAATCAAATTCACAATTATGCCACAAGAGGTGCTTCTGCATTCCACTTACCCCATGCAAGGACAAAGTTTACTCTCAACACTTTAGTTTGCACTGGACCAAGGTTTTGGAACACTCTTGACTCAAGCATTAGCCATTCTGTCAGTATATCTGTCTTCAAACGTAAACTGAAATTGTACTTATTGAATAATTACTTAGTTGTTTCTTAATCTGTAGTGTCGTGATTTATATTTGAACTTAATCCATTCCCCAATTTACTACTGTATAGCAACTGCCGACTTACCTTTTCCTTTTTCTTTCCTTTCTCGCCTGTAGCTAGCTTTCAGTTTACAGTGAAAGTATTTTTTTTTCTTTCTCCCCCCACTCGAGCTCTCCCTCTCTTTCCCACTCCCGCCCTTCTCTTCATTTCTATATCCCACATCATTATCACTCTTATCTCCCCCTTTTGTACATAGTCTCTTCTCCCCACCCTTTTTTATTACTCAGTTAAACCATGTGTATAATCATATGGTTATTGTTTATAGTTATTTGTTTTAGTACTTTAGCGCCTTTGACGAACATTTCATTTATTAATCTATTATATAACCAGGCTGTTCTTGTTGTTTATGTTATTGTTTTTGAGGGACCTGACCTCTACAAGCTAAGCTTTAATTAGGTCTCCTCGTCTTTTCTTCTTTTGTTTTCTCATGTAAATGCATTGTGTGAACTTTATTCTTATAAGTGTTTCCTCTTATATACTTTGCATGTTATACATTTGTTAAATTGTATTACATTTATGTTGGAAGAAAGACAAATAAACTTGAACTTGAACTTAGAAATAGAAGTTAAAGAGCCAGGGTAGGGTTTAATCAGTCATCATACGTTCCGGTGTCGCGTACGCCGGGAGTTCGGGGTGCTAAAGGGTCAACGGTTGTCCGGGGTACTGCGAGTCCGGTCCTTGGGGCTTGGCTAGTGTGCTAGCGTGCTAGTCAGGGCTTTGTCCGCCGCTTGATCTTGATGATTATGATACAGGGGTTGCATGAATAGAAACATATTTGCAATAATAATATATTAAGGTTTGTACATGCAAAAAAGGTGGGGGAGGGGGGGGGGGGGGTGGGTCGTGAAATTCAGTTTTCAGGATAGATCCTAGATCTAGATCTACCCCTTATTTCCTTAATTGTTGGGAGCTTTTCGTGTATTTGGGCCTTTCCTCCCTTTTTTGCCTGATCAGACCCATTTTCTATATTTGATGTTCCTTTTTGTTTGTACGTGTTTTTGTTATTTTTTTTGTATTGTCCCATTTTTTTCGTTAATTAGATCCCCACTTTTGCGAAATCCTGGAGCTGCCCTATAGAAGGATCTTTTTCCCTCCCTCCAACTTTTAATTAAGAAGATGTCTGAACTATCAAAGAGGTGAAAGTGCAGTAAAGATTTTTTTTGTTAAAGATGAAACTCTTAAGGGGTAAAAAACATTGAGATAAAGGAATTGAGAGAGAGAGAGAGAGAGAAAAGGTGGAAAGAAAGAAAGTGGGGAAGGAGAGAGAGAAAATTCTCCAAATTGCATTTGCAAGTGAATAGAAGGGTTCAGGGCAAAGGTTAATGGGAAAACTTTGTTATGATTGTCAAGCCAAATGATATTGATTGAGTGCTTCTAGGAAGCTTAGTGAAATATGGTGGTTCGAAAAGACTCGTCTGGAATGCAAAATTGGAAATCAAGAGTTTATCACACGGAAGTAGAACCACATTTTTAGGATATGGAGCTGGTACTGGTAAAAGATGGTAGCTAAATTGTCATTCAATTGTGTAAAAATAGCAATTTTAATTAACAAACATCACTTCTTTTATGCTCTTTGTGTTTTTGGACACGTCTTTTTGTGGCCATACATTTCGTTGAGCTACTTTATGTTCCATTAAAATCTTAAAACTTGCTATAGGTTTCCCAATCACCACGATTTCACTCCTACTTTTTAGGTGCCAGATAAAAATGTCAGCGGTTAAAATGTCTGAGGTAAAAAAGCTGGAGTTTTAAATGCCAGAGGGGAAAACATAGATTTGGCAATAGAATAAAAACAGTGTAGGCTTATATTCTATTATTATTATCAAAATAATGCAAGACCCGGAAGCTGGGACATCCCCCCCCCCCTTGAAGTTAGACCTGGAAGCTTGGCAGCTGGAGACGGCTTTCTTCCAGAAGCTTTGTTATTCAAGGTATTCAAGGTATTCAAAAGGAATCAAACAATTTTTTTTTTTTTTTTTTTTTTTTTTTTGGGGGGGGGGTTTTAGTCCCGCTTTACCTTCTTCTTAGAATCAAGCCTGGTTCATACAGTACCTGAAGAAAATTAAGCATTATAACCTTAAAGGTAAAGACCAGTATTGGAAACGCCCCAATTTCAAAAAAATGAAATGGAAGCTCTCATTACCAATCATGTGAAGGAATATGTTTTGACTAATACATGATGATAAAAAATTTGCCGGGAAACCGCATACTAATTCATATATTTGGTAAATTTGTTTCTCTCATGGTCTGTGAGAGATATAGGGAAGTCCCATATATATCTTTCTGTGTATAGTGCTTGTAACTTTACGAAGAATGGGCCAAATTTCTTATCATTTTGATGATTCCAGAACCTTGCAGATGCTAGATGCTAGATGATCAACCTTTTCTGATCGATTCCACAAAGTTTCTTTCACAATGCAATCGCATGACCATAACTGGTCTTTACCTTTAAAAGATCACTGCACTTACCTTTCACCTAACCATATGGGAAGGGGGGGGGGGGGGGGGGAGGGGGAGGGGGAGGGGTAGGGGGTTTGGGTGTCAAACAGGTCCTTGGGACCAATTTGCAACAATAATTGAAAAAGAAAATCTCAGATTTGGAAGTGGGTTGTACCATGAATACGAAGTTTGAATGGGAATAACTGTAGACACGAATGACTTTATCATGTACTTATACATCTCCAGGGTAGGGAAAAAAGTTAAGGCCAGGGTAAGTCAACAGAGGAAATCCAGGGTTGGAATTAATTATGGGTTGATACTAAAATTAGTTCCAGATGATTTATGATTGTTCAAATGAAGTGAGGCATCACATGTTGATATGCTCCCAATCATTAATAACCAGATAGCTGCATGGGTTTGCGTTTGCTAGGTTCTTCTGCAGCACAATGTAGTCTTTATAGACTGTCAGATTTCTTTGGAGGTTGGGGTTCGTTCCACCTGACTGCTGAGATTTACAAGGTGCGTCCAGGTTCTAGAGTGTTCATCAAGACCCTCCCCCCCCCATCTGCATGATAGTTGTGTAAAAAAATAAATGCAAAAAGGTCGAAGACCCAATGAGCATTTTCAAAAGCATTGGGATAATTTCAAAGTTGAAGTTTCTTCTACCCCATGCAACCTCATTCTTAGTATATAATATGCTAGTACTCCCATACATATTGCAACATCGTATGGGCTAATTGCGGTTCAACTAAAATCAATTTTATGTTTAAATTACAAAAGAGGGCTATCCGTATTTGTACAGGATCACATTATTTGGCTCACACTGACCCCTTATTCTTTAAACTTAGAACACTAAAATTGTTTGTTTTAATACTATTCAATTAGCAGTTATCATGTTAAAGTATACTTATAAACAACTTCCACCATTTTAGTTTCAATTGTTCTGTTCATTCCTGCCCCACTCAAATATCTAGAAATTTCCATCTAACAAACCCAAAATTATTATTGACACACAAATCCATTACACATTGTGGTCCGGATATTTGAGAAAAAAATTCCTGACAACATCAAAACTTCAACCCTCTATTCCTTGAAAGCCACACTTAAACAAAAAATAACACAATCGTATGTACCAAACGCTCGAAATTAATATTAATAGCTTTGCCGGAAACCATGATTTATTATTCCTTTTACTCAACTGCCGTCTCCTGCACTCACACCTGCAATTGCACTGCACCGTCTTGATCACTAGGTTTTACCAGGAGAGTTTTGTTGCTAAATTTTTTTAAATTATTTTTTCACGAGGCAGCCATCCATTTCCAGCCTAACCGCTCCCGGTGGCGGTCTCCTGCGTTCTTCAATTTATCTCTTTAGTTCAATGAAAAATATATACAAATATCCATTATACTTTTTTGTATGCTTTGTATTATGGTTATGTATAATATTATCAAACATGATTTGATATGTACATGTATACATGATTTGAAAATGTATTAACATGTATTTGTTATTTGAACGCATAAATAAAATCAATAAAAAAATAAAAAAAACAATAACCAGAACTCATTAATTAGTTTACCAGAGATAACTTGCTCACTGCTCCCTTTGTTTTTTGTTTGTTTTTGTTTTCTGTTCTTTTTGGGGCTGGTGCAAATCTCAATATCAGTAAATATGAAAACAGTTTAGGACTGTAATTGTCTTGGGACACTTTCTTCTTTGGTTACAGGTGGTCAAGGCTGATATTGAGCCTTTGATATCAACAGCCCACGACAGACTCACCAATGAGGATAATGACTGGAACCCTGTCAAAGGCAACATGAATGGTCCGTCATCAGGTAACCAGCCCCTCCACAATGAGGGAATGGACAGACAGTATGGTACAACAACACCAACGAGCCCAAGAACGAGATTAGCTAGTGAACAGGGAAGCAGGAGTAAATTGTCGGGGGCCATCGCAAGGTACGAATCCAGAAATAACAGTAGGGACGAAGATGGGGACGATGATGCTGTACTGGTACTTGATGGAAGAGAACACTCAGGAGGACAAGTTGAAACTCCGGTCGGGGAGAATGGAAGTCAGGACAGGGAAGATGGAGAGCGCAATATATTGGACGAAGATGCTATTGCCACGGTTACCAGTGATGCATGTTCTGAGATTGTGCATTCAGATGTTGAAGATATTTCACAATGTGGCTGGTTTGGATACTCCCCTCCTTTCGTTCAGGTGAAATTGTTATTTATCTTACTCTCAGTAAAAGTATGGCATAAAGGGAGGGGGTATGGAAATGTATGCTGTTGTGGTCATACTTTTCTCCCTCTCCACAAAGATCTTCAACAAGCTTTTCCATTTATCTTCTGTTGACAAATTTAACTTCCTATTTAAATGCGGGGAAGCTTCAAGGGAGAGATTTCCTAAGGAAGAGTTGTTGCTTGTAGATCAGCTGCGTGATATAAGAAATAAGAAAGAAAAAGAGTTTCCTTTTCTTTGACACATTTCTTTTCTGTGACAGATTTTCAACAACCCCAGGGGCTTTCTCTTCTTCGTATGTACGCTGTCCTTGATCCAGGGAATGACTGCCTTTGGTCTAGTCTACATCAGTATCACCACCCTTGAACATCGCTTCAGCCTGGACAGCTTCAAGAGTAGCTTCATCTCCAGCGCCTACGATGTCTCCGCACTCTCTGTCTCCCTCCTAGTCACCTACCTTGGTGAGCAGGGCAACAAGCCCAGATGGATCGGCGTCGGTTCCGCCATCTTCAGCCTCGGATCGGTGATATTTGCGCTCCCGCATTTCCTGACGGGGCTCTACGATGCGGGCGAATCGCCGAATCTCTTGTGTCAAAGGCCTCCCGACAACATGACTAGGTTGGACAGTTGCGACGGTAGCGGTGGTGCCGAATCGGATTTGGCTGTTTTTTACTGGGTATTTATCTTAGCACAGGTACTGCACGGAATCGGAGTGTCGCCCCTCTATACGTTGGGCATAACATATATGGATGAGAACTTGCATGCTAAGGATTTTGGATTCTACTTAGGTAAGAATTCTATTTGAAATAAATATGTTTTTCCTGCTATTTGTTCATCAATGACTTCTGTTTTCAGGTGATATTGCTTACTGCATTAGAAATATATATGTGTCTAGATTTTGCAAGACATACACATATCTTTTGTTTTGCATTGCATCGTGTAGAAAATCTGAAATTCTGGAAAGCTAAAATGAAAATGAATTAATTCTAACAAAAAATATCTTCACCCCCACCTTCGTTGCAGTCTGCTCGAATGTGGAAGCTGTACCATAATTCTTTCCTAAATATCTTCGTTTCCGTTCAAAACAAACATGGGTACCCATGTTTATTGTTGAGGTTAGTTTCCCCCCTAATTTGGGAATGAAACATGCGAGTTAAAACCCCACAATTGACTCCTGAAAGACTACAAGTATATAATAAATGTTTTTAGACCTTATATTTTTGGTACAGAAAATATAACCCCTTTGGAAATACATGTGTAACCCCCTTCAGTGATTCCAAAAAATATTCAAGTCATGTATGTGTATAATGTTGAACACCAGAGCATTTTGCATAATGTTGTTTATTTTGTTTCTCTTACCAGGTATCTTCAATGCTATGAGTGCAGCTGGACCAGCCCTGGGTTACGCACTGGGAGGAGTCTACCTCCGGGTCTATACAGACTTTCATGTAACGGACAGGTAAGGAAACAATTATCAATCTTATAATCGTTCTTATTTTCTATCTTTTAAAATAATATATTTATACCAGTTATGATGTAAAAATAAATGAATTAAATACATTCTGTAGCCCCCCCCCCCCAAAAAAAAGTGTGCTTATTTCCTGTAATTTGACACCACATTTTAACTTATTCAAACTAAAACAATTTAAAGGAATGCACTCTGAGATTTAATTGGTTCTAATCTTAAAAAGGGGCAAAAACAGAAAAATTATAGAAAAAGATCACCGAATGCTTGATCAAGATCAGATAAACATAAGAGTTTATGAATGTATACCAGTGCTATTTTTCAATTTACCCAAGCACTTTTGAAGCTTTTGAGCACTAAATCGCTCACCGCTCACATGAATCTTATTTCGCTGGTTAGGGTAGGGTAAGGGTATTGATGTAACATTCCAACCATTGGTCAACAACAAAAATTGATGATTGTTGTCTACTTTCCCTTATTTCCAAATGTTATTCTTTTATTTGTGTGTCTTCTTCTATAGTGCTTTAGTATCCCTAGCAACCCGACGTGGGTTGGGGCTTGGTGGTTAGGGTTCCTCGTCAATGGCAGTCTTCTGTTCATCATCTCTGTTCTCATGCTCGGCTATCCTAAAGCATTGCCTGGTGAGTACACTGTTTGATGTAAGGATACCGTGTAAGCAGATATTTTTGTGGGCGTCTTATTTTTCGTGAATTTCGTGAATCACTCATTGATTGCAAAGGTAACAACACACAAACATATTTCCATCAAGTAATGTCGCATGTCAAAATCACTTAAGTATAAAGCCCTATCCCATGCCTCACATGTATGGGGCCTGTAGGATGAGTCGTCAAGGGGTCATGTAGCACATATCGATTTGCGTAATGCAGACGAGACCGCCGAGAACTTTCCCTTGTTCGTTTTCCTAACAGTTTTTATAACACTACAGTCTATTGGGGGACATGAGTATTGTAAAACTGGTCACTCAAAGATTTTTTATTTTTTGAGGCACTTCAAGATCATTTTAAAGCTCAATTTTGTCAGGCATAGACACTGATAACACGGGCCATGGATCTCGGATTTAGAGATTTAGTTAAATGATGCCTTTAAATTCAGCTTGCTAAATACGAGGAGGTGTTTCTTCAAGGCCTGTACCCCTCAGAATACTCATCAGCAATAGTAAACGTAATGCGACTTTTGTCATTCTAAAGGCCATGATCTCAACGTTGTCAGCTCTCAATACAGATGTAGATATAATGTACAAGTACAGGAAGTGGGTGACACACGTAGGATACTGAACAAATTAAATCTGTCAGGTTTGCTGCTGGATTTTCCAAAAATAAGCATCAAGTAGCACTACTACCATCACAAATACTTGTCCTTTAGAATATTGTGTAACATAAGTTGTTAGAGATTTATGAAAATGTCCATTACTTGTAAACGTCATCTTTAAATTACTAGTTGAATCAAACTGTCCGGATAAATGTGTCTGTCCTAACGTCATGCGACGTGTTTGCTGATGACTCATTCGCATCAATCCCCTCCTTGTTCGTAGAGTTTCATCTAAAGTCACTGAGATTATTGCCCTAATTTCTTTCTTTTTAAAGGGAAAGTCCACCCCCAAAATAAGTTTGTTTCGATAGAGGCAGAATAATAAGAAAATCAGGTGAGTGAAAGTTTGAGCAAATTCTGAATGAAAATAAGAAAGTTATGAATTATTGAAGTTGTGATCAATCAAATACAAATTGGCAACTCTGTGACTTATTATACTAGCTCTCCTTCATTTGCTTTGTGCATAATATTCCATAAAATCATGTTTTCTTCGTTATTGATGACGGAATATATATTTGTTCCTTGCAGGGGGAGTATAGAAACATATTTGCAATTATTATATTTAGAGTGCATGTATGGTTGAAATTTTTCTTGAGGGAAAATGAAAATTTTAGATTTTTTTAGTACTGAGCAAATGGAAGTTGAGCTCGCATGATACGTCATAGAGTTGCCAATTTGTGTTTGATTGATCACAACTTCAAAAATCCTAACTTCCTTATTTTTAATCGGGATTTGCTCAAACTTTCACTGACTTGTTTCTCTCATTTTTCTACTCCTATTAAAACTAACTTAATTTCAGGGTGGACTTCCCCTTTAAACAACTGCAGCTAAATAAATATTCCAACAAGTAAACAAAATTCTTTTATTTTTTCAGGTCTGTTGTATGGGATTTGGAATGATAAAAAGGGAAACAATTATTTATAGTTCTGTGATTGTATGTACCGGTAGTCATCTGTTAACATGGGTTTGACTTCCCATCTGGACTTTTGCCCTCTTTCACAATATGTATTCATATTGAAAAGAATGAATGTTCCATAGTGCGTGCTTTTGAGACAATGTTTGTGAGCTGCTCTATAAACTAGAAGGAAAGACCTGCTCAATTGAAATAGACCTCTGGCGCCTGGCACTTTGGGATACAGTCTCACTATCAGCTACTTTATTGGCATGCAGGGCCTTCAATGTAGCAGGATGTGTTACCCACAGGTACATATAAATTAGGTGCATGGGTACTTATTATTAAACAATGTCAGATTTTACTATCAAATGACAGAATACATACATGTATATGTACTGAACCTTGCATTTCCTGGAGAATATATATATATATATATATATATATATATATATATATATATATATAATTTTCTTTTTTTCTCCTTCTTCTTCTTCTGTCGACCAGATTGTCATTTTAAATATATTGTAGCTTTAAGTGCATATGCGGGGACTCACCCCACTAATTCACCTAACCAAAAAAGAAAGAAAGAAAATGACCAGAAAACTTCAGAAACAGTCCAAATGAATGAGATGTTACCCCCTTTGCCTCGCACACCAAAAAACGGTCCCCTCATGAGAGAGAAATAATGATAAAAAATAAAAAAAACATCAGGTAAAAGAAGTCAAGAGACAGATGGTTGCATCATACAACAGTTTTGGAATTAATTGCATTTATTGTAGCCTATGCTCTGCTGTATGCCCTTTTATTCATGCCTCTTGCACAATGGTAATTATGATAATCAGTGATGATTGTAATTCATTTTGCACAATTTCTATGAACTCAACTCAACTGCACAATATAATGTAACAGAACATAGGAGAAATTACACTTAATAAAATAAAACAAAGTTGTCAGTAGTCTGAAAAGGATATTCAATAAGCTCTGATGTTTGATATAAACATGGATCGTAATAAAGCATGGCTAGGAAAAATGTTAATGAAAATAAAAAATGTTGATGAAAATAAAAGATTCTTAAGCTTTGAAACATGCTTACAGTACCTTTAATAGATAGAGGGAGAGAGATTGTTTCAGACTTTGGGTGCAGTACTAACAAAAACAGAGTCTCCTAGTAGAGGTGTCCAGTTGGTTGATTTGTTGGTTTGTTTTACCTGACTGCTGAGGAAAGATGCGTTTGCTTGTAATTAATCAAGCAGGGGACCAACGACTTTAACTCCTCTCCGAGGGACTTGATAAGGCCTAAAATAAAAACTTGTTGTATTGCCCTTTGCGACCGACCCAAAAATCTGAAAAATCTATGGTCGGCATTTTAAAAAAGTTTTTTTTTTAAAACCATTTTTTAGATTTTTTAAAATTAATGAATACAAAATAGGTATTTTGTTCAAACATTAAAAACTGAAAAATATTGGCCCAAAGAGGGCGACAAAATTAAAAAAAAAAAAATCTTTTTTGACCGACCGATCCATGTTTTGGCACCTAAAGGGCAATACAACAATTTGTTTTTAGGCCTAATGAGGATAAACTAAATGCCTTTAAAATACCAAAGGGCACTAGAGCTTCGAATTGGTTTCGAACCCGGGACCTCCTATTTACGAGACCACTGCTCTACCACTGAGCAATGGTTTGATTGCTTGACCGGAGATGAGGTGGTGGGTTGGAGCTCCAGGGCAGCACTCGTAAGTGACCTTTGCCTTGACAAAACATTTATCTGCATTTGCCAATCTCCACCCAGGAGTTAAATGTGTACTGTTAGGAAGAAAGGCCTTGAATGCTGGCTGTGAGCCCCAGAATAGGTAGCCTATGGAGAGGCAGGATATTACGGGAGTGCCTTGAACACCTAATGAGCGGAGATAAGTGCTTAAAAAATATCAATTAAAAAAAACTGTTAAATGAATGTGATTGCTGTCTTATAATTAAGAATTTTGTGCACTCATATATTTCTTAAAGGATCAAAAGAAATTGCCAGCAAGAGAAAGAGCGAAGTACAGCGGGGCCAGGAGTTTGAGTCTGGTCAAGGCTGGAAGAAGCGTCTGCAGGCCTTTCCGAGGGCCGTTCTCAACCTCATCACCAATATTCCTTTCATATGTGTGTGCTTCTTCGTCACATGTCAATGGTTCTATGCTTCTGGACTGTCTGTGTTTGGGCCTAAGTACATGGAATCTCAGATGAATATCTCCTCTAGTGGTGCAGCATTCTATGTGGGTAAGTATACAATTTAGTTTTCATATTGACTTTTTTTCCCAATAGACATGAAGATTGAAAATTGAACTTTACCGACTTTGCTACCACTGCTGTACATGTACATGTACAGTATGTATATTCAATTGCACGATCTTTCGGTGAAGGTGTACATAGAGCGATTTCTGGTTCCTGGACCCCGGTATCATCACACATGCCATGCAGTGGTTGATGCACTGTGGGACATGGGTGTTGACAAATCGGGACATTGTGACCAGCAGATGGCAGTATATTTAAATCTGAAGCAGTGCCAGTAGAATACCCTGCCTTTAAAATAAAGTTGAGTTCTGGTCATGCGATTGCATTGTGAAAGAAACGGTGTGGAATCGATCAGAAAAGGTTGATCATCTAGCATATAAGAATTTGTGTGTATTGCAAGGTTCTGGAATCATCAAAATGATAAGAAATTTGGCCAAGTAATATGAAGGCATTTGAAGAGCCATGCTTTTCAGGGAACATGTCTTATATTATGTTCTTCCACACTTGCATAACAAGAATGATAATGCTCACAAATTATTTTTCACCTCTTCCCAGAACTCAACCTTCTCTTTAAGTCAGGGCAGTTTCATTCATAACAAATGTTTGCAAACTTCATTGCACAGACAAAGGGGTTAAAAACAATTTTCAATTCCTAGAAGTTCATTCGTTCAGAGGCCTGACAGGCCCTGGATGGCTTTAACTTCTCTCCAATGACCTGGTAATAAGGGTTAATGCCTTTAATACCAAAGGGCACGAGCGTATCAACTTGTTCTGGGACCCTGGATTACTGGACCACTACTCTGCTGCTGAGCCAATACGCATCCCTATCGTGGCCGAGTGGTTTGAGGTGCTTGACTGGAGATGCAAAGGTCGAGGGTTCGAATCCTGACACGGCACTGATATCCTTTGGCAAGATATTAACCTGCACTTGCTACTCTCCACCCAGGTGTTAAATGGGTACCCGGTAGGATGCGACCGTCAAACAGTTTTTGAGCATCAAGTAACGCCTGGCTGGAATGCTCCCCAGGGAGTGGAGATTGTGCACACAGTGTGTGCGGGCAAGCACTGAATCCAATGACTGGGGTGATAGTATATATAGTGCTTTAGAGACATTGTATTAAGCGCTATATAATATAAGCGGAATATTATTATTATAGCAATGAATACAGTAATCCTATTTCCTCAATGTCTCAACTCTCTAGGTCTCCTGACGATGGCTGGCACGGGGACAGGTGCCTTGATCGGAGGCTGGATCATCAAGAGATTTGACCTCAAGTTCAAAGGTCTCATTGGGTTTGCCATGGCATGTGCCGTAGGATGTCTTGGAGCTTCCTGTGCTTTCTTGCTGAAGTGTCCCAACGTTCCCCTGGCTGGTGTGACAGTGCCCTACATAAATAGGTGATTTCTCTAGTCATGTTGATATTGATATTGATTGTTTATAGAATTAGTGCTTTGCCTAAATTACTCCTTTATCAATCAGATATTGAAATGAAAATCGCCAAATAAGTTCATGTAATTCCATGTTTTACCTAAATAACTACTTTTAAATGAGATAGTAAAATGAAAATCACAAAAATATGTTCATGTAATTCCACAAATATGTCTTTTTGCACCGATGCTGTACCTGAATAATATGTTGGATAAATCAGATTAAATTAATATTTCCACAATTATTTTGGATATGTTTTCATAAAGCATTCTCTTACTAAAACCTCTTGACTCAATGAATAATCAAGCTGTAATTTATGATCAAATTTATCACTATAAAATGTAAACAAAAATATATGTATGTATAATTTAAAACCTTCACAAGATCATCTAAAAGGGTTGAATGCATATCATATTCATGGATTTGTACCTTTTTTTTTGACGTACATAGCTATTCAATTTTTACTTCACAAATCCAAGATTATGAAAAGGAAAGATGACAGTTTATTAAGTATTGATCATGATAATGTTGTTGCGGCCAGTGCTTAAATTTTTATTCACCAGACTCTGAAAAATAAACTATTTTGCAACAGTTCAGGAGCAGCAAAACATTTAGGCCACATTTGTAATCACAGCGATGATCTATTAGTTTAGAGAATGCGTTTCAATCTTGTGACTCTCTCCTCATCAATGTTTATGTTTACCTCACATGCTCTTTGATACCGCAGCTCTCAAGAACTTCAATCGCATCTCAATATTACAGCTATGTGTAACATAGAATGTAGCTGTGGTAGAAGTTTTGATCCAGTGTGTGGCAGTGACAAGGTCCTCTACTACTCGGCTTGCCACGCCGGCTGTTCAGAACAGTCGGACGGCGATGAAGTCTTGGTAAATAACAACATATCGAGGGGTCAGTGACACAAAGACGTAACTCCATTTTGGTCATTTTTAGAAAAAGTGGTTCATGTGTCACTGAGCACTTGGGCCTTAAGGAGTTAAGTCTTTTTTTCACTAACCATTGACTTCAATGGGGGGGGGGGGGGGTTGGGTGGAGTTAAGTCTTTGTGTTTCCTGGAAAACCCACATTTTTCTGAACAGTTTGATATCAAATACTCATTTTGGCAAAATATGGAGTTACATCTTTGTGTCACTGAACCCACAATATTAACAGCGATGTTCATTGGGTTTATTTTCTGTTGTACTTGAAGATATATTGTGTTAGCTTATAGGTGAATTACTGAATCAGTCGAAACTAACACTACACTCAAGACTACAAATAAATGAAATTTACACATTGTGTAGATTGTTAACAGCACAGTAGAGAATATCTGTATAGTAGCTGTGCTTTATAAATTGATGTAGTAATTATTAGGATTAGTATGCCTCCATTTTCATAACTGATGTTGAGCTTTACTTGCGTATAACTTCCTTAAACATGGCTCCTACCTTTGACGATCAAGCTACCTCTTCTCCATTTTTCACCGCAGTACACGGACTGTTCTTGCATCAGGAACAGCTCTAGTCCTGGACCTGGTTCTGCCGAGCCTGGAAAGTGTTACATCTTCTGCAGATCTAAATGGCCGTTCTTTCTGGTAATGTTCCTGCTTCTCACCTTCGGTGGGATGGTGCTGGTGCCAGTATGGACAGCTACAATACGGTCTGTATCCTTGACGGGGGGGGGGGGGGGGGGGGGGGGGGGGGGGGGGGGCGTCTTTTTTTAACCTAACCTTGACTCCCTATCGCTTCATTTGATTGGCTCAATAGGAACCATACGTCATGCGCTAGTCATAAATATTCATGATACGCACGCACACAGAATTTGATGCGAAAATTTATCAAATAAAGAGATTTCATACAAAAATTACAAGTGCAAAGCTATGTTTACTTAAAATGAATGACATTGCGATCAAATCGGGTGGCTTACCGTAAACGAATGACTAGCCAGGTCATAAATTGTCCATAATCATTGGGACATACTGGTTATGTCCAGAATCTGGTCGATTTAATTTTACCAACGCAAATATTCATATATTCAAATATTAATATGCAGCGCAGGATGGCTAGGTTAGGTTTAAAAATATCGCTGACGGGGCACAAGAAATGTCTTATTTAATGAGGACTATGTCTTGTATTCTTGAAACGTGTGTAAAGTCGGTCTGCCATATTTTTGAAGTGCCAAATAATACCCTCTTCAAAATTGTTCAACTAAATGAATATACGGTGTGATTACTTGTTACAGAATTTTTACAGTAAATATTAACACAACAGGGGGGGGGGGGCTGCAGCTCTTTTGATCTGCACTGAAGATCTTGAAATGACTGATATTCAAGCTCCCGTCATCTTGCATTCAGACAATGAGTTGTTACTCCTCTTTTCTCATCCTATCTAGTATATTTGTACAACATTAAAGGGCTTTACATGGATACAAAATGCACTTTTAAACAGTGGATGTCACTTTAGCAAAATGTCTTGAAAGTATATTTATTCCAGAAATATGACCTTCTTGTAAAAGCTTTGCCTATAGGTGTTTAGCTTTATACAATTATGTATATTACTGTACTCATTGTTGAATTAATCATGATGGTAATATGAGCAGAAATGATTGGCACATCATCGTGTGACATTATTTTAACCCAAACCAGAAGGAATTCTCATCACAAGGAAAATAGAAATAGATCTTCAATTACACATGCTTACTACATAGTGTTACATAAATTTTGTTTTAAAGCTTTCTTTGCTGAATGTGCTTTTTTTCTTTCAGATGTGTGCCCCATTCACAGAGGACATTTGCTCTAGGGTTGCAGAGTTTATTGTACAGTGCATTAGGTGAGTGCGTAATTCTTTCTGGTGAAAATTGCACTTTTTGTGCAATGTTTATTAACTGGAAAATAGTCGGAAGTGGTGAGTGTGGGGGGGGGGGGGGTTTAGTTAATCACCCGTAACATTGAATCTGCTTGATTTGTAATTAGTATGATATGATTTGATAAATAGAGGTGTCGTGGTCAGGTGGATACGTCGTCGGACTGTGGATCACAAGGTTTGTGGTTTGAGTCCTGCCGCTGCACTTAGGTCCTTTGGCAATACATTATGCCACATTTGTCACATTCCACCCGGGTGCTAAATGGCTTTCAATCGGAAGGGATTGCTTGAATACTGTGAGCACCCAAAATGGTAGCCTAGAAGATCCAAGGTAATATTGGAGCGCCTTGAGCACCTTGTGTGTTGGATATGTGCCCTATAAAAGAGATACCCCAGTTTATTATTGACTCCACTGATACAAGGAGTGTTTTAGCATTTTCCCAAAAGACAATATACAGCTTTACATGCAAGTAGGATTTGATAAACTAAACTAATACTAGAGCTTTTAGCATATTCTCACAAGACTTTATTCTTTGTGAAATATGCTTAACTTCATGATACTAACATGTGACCTTGAAAGGCGGATGGGGATCGCAGATGAAAAAAGCCCCCAAATCACTAAAAAAGTTGCCATTAAGCAAAAGAAGACAACTGTTCTAAAATTTAAAATTGGTCTACAGAGGTTTAACAAATTTTGTTGTGTGTTGAAAAAGAAAGGCTGAAATGGGTCTTAACTTTTGTGCTTTAGGTTTAAACAAGATATTTTGAAGGGATGAAGGGGGGGGGGGGGGGTCCAACCTCCTCTTGCAGCGTCCATGTGAGGCTTATCAAATATAAAAAATGATTTAGAAAGGCATTTCTCATTTACTCCTCCACATTGCACCATATAGGAACTATCCCAGGACCCGTTGTTCTTGGTCTTCTTATTGACAAGTCCTGCTTGCTGTGGGAGGATTCCTGCGATGGGTCCAGGACCTGCTGGCTATACCAGAACTCGGAGCTGTCCCTGGTCTTCTTCTTCATCACCCTCCTGGCCAACGTTGGTGGACTGATATTCCTTCTGGGGGCGCTGCTCAGTTACAGGACGCCCGACGGGAGAGGAGGTGCCGACGGGGGGAAGTATGATAAGCTGGAGAATGAAGATAATACTAACAGTTTATGATCACAGTTTCTCACCAACTTTGCGCGATGCCATCCCAGGATCAGCGTGTGAGGGCAGTATCAAGGAAACTATGTTAGAAAAAAGAGATGGGCGCTGCTCAGTTACAGGACGATGCTCTATGACCAAAGTGACCGTACCCTGTTTCCACCCGCTTTGCAGGATGTTCTTCCATCGTATTGTTGCTGGACCAAGATCAGCTTGTGAGGGCAGTATTGTGAAAACTATGTTAGAAAGAAGATGAATTGAGATGAATACCTATCGGAAATGAAAAATGAAATAGATGAATTTTATAGATCAATGGAAGGCTTATAGGCCATAGAGTACAAAAATATCAATCATTTGCTATTTGAGTGTTTGACAAAGGAGTAACAGCTCTTTGAAAATTCTAAATCTTTAGCTTTGAAAATTGAAATTGGTTGACCTAAAAACTAGCTATTGACTTTACACATATTCACAATGACTTCACAATGACTTTACAATAAGTAAGCACAGCTTATTGCTTCAGCTATCTACAGGCGTGCTGATCAGGTGTGTCGCCACCGTAACTGCAGCAAATTCGACCCCCGTTGTCCCGTAATTTGGAGGGGTGCTGAAAATGAGGTTGAAATATGCTTTTGTGCAATACTGAAATGGAAAATATTTGTTATTCCTTTTTATTTGTATTCAACGTTCATTCAGCTCTCCATTGATATAAGGTTGTATTTTAATCGGATAGGGGTTGTAAGATGTGTAGCAATTCTTTGATTTACCTAGGAGTGCTCTGTGTGTTTAGAGTATGTAACACATGACTGTTCCATGTTTTTAAAATTAATCGCCAACAATAAGATTTGTACACAATTACCAGATTTTCATTAGCCAAGTAAAATGTAGATTGTGAGTTACAACTATTTATATCATTTCAAAGAGGCTCCTTCGTAAAATACCAAGGAATGTAAGGTATAATTTAGGCACACCTTGAGAACGAAAATAAGTACACATACAGGGGGGTGTTTCCCAAAGATCCTAAATTGGACTTAACAATTATGGAAAGCCATTAGCATCTTGAAAATATTTTGTAAACGTTATTTTAAAAGGCATGAAATGTCGATTCAAGTCAGTCGTATTTTCTATTATCAAGGAGAATTCATGTTCTTGATGTGGAATTTATGAAAAGTCTAAAATACTTTAATATTTGCTTTTGAATATATTTCATTTTAAGGCTACAAATGGCTCTCCATAATGTTTAAGTGCAACTTAGATATAACTACGACTTTGGATCTTTGTGAAACATCCCCTGGTGTACTTTTAATATATAAATTGTAAATATGAACACCCAATGCTTGTTTATTAATGGGATATTTTAGCTAAAAGACCCCTTTTGTTTACTGCCACAGTCTGCGGACAAAAACAAATGAAGAAAAGACCCATTTGTTTTGTATGATCGTGAACAGTTACATTTACATATTTTGATGGTGAATGTACACCTTGGGTAATTCACATTTATTGGTATATGTTGATAATGATGGATTGGATTTATGTACAAAGAAAGGTCAGAAAGGAAGTTGTGTAAATTTGCTGATTCAAATGCTCAATGTTTGTTTAGTGTACTCTAATTTTATTTACCATGACAACAGAAACAAAAAAAACTTGTCATCAGGAATTTATGTTTTTCTTGGTACTGAATCTTGTCTTTCAAACAAATTGTTTGTTTTCTCTTATTTGCATACAGGGTAAGCTTGAATATAGCATTGGAAAACTTTGTCTAATATGTAACTTTTGAATATTAAAAATTATATGGTGGTTTTTCAGTTAAATAAATATTATCATTCAGATCCTCTTTACTTATATGAATTAGAACATTGCCTTTCTTTCAAAAAAAATACCGGTACTCAAAATTTCATTTTGTAATCTGTTCTTTGGTAATAATTTTAGTGCAAAACTTACAGTTATTGGCACAAAGAAAATATGTGACTCCTTATGTGATTTGAAATGGAACTTGCTTTGATAAGTGAGGCACGTGCTGAAAATTGAACCTTTAGATTTCAAGTGATGTTCTCTTCGGCTTTATCACAGTAGTAAGGCTGGCAATATGCTTAAATGAGAGGATTGTTTGATGAGAGTAGAAGAAGCCAGTGCACTTGCAAAAAATCTATTTATTAACATATATATGCTCCATCACTGCCTTTTTATATATATATATATATATATATATATATATGTAATTATATTGCCTTTCTTCAAAACAGTCAAGAATATCAACATTTGTTGGATACCCCTGAATATGAGGAATAAACTCTCTTTGGGCTTTTTAAGTGTATGAGCATTGAAGATCAGGTGACATTAAATGTACTTCTATTCGTGCTTATCTTTTCAATTTTTTGTTTTATTGCTGCTATTGCTGTTGATGTATTCAGGCTGTGAATGGTTTATGCTTTTCCCACAAGCTACGTGTACATGAGAGAATATATACTCTATACAAAAGTTATATAATCAGGCTGATCTTTATAGCATACAAGTTCATGTACAGAGTAAGAATTATATATCTTGTTAGAGATGAGACAGTACTCTTATTTATTGCATTGTTTTGTATCGCTAAATAACCTTGAATTTGCTGAATTTACAAATAATTCTTGCAATTATCTGTTTTTAATGTCTGTCAATAACTTTGACTCTTTAAGCCTGTATGAACTAGTTTGGAGAGTAGGGATTAGACCTCCCTGCATGGTCACTGACAGGTGGTTATCTTATCAAATCAGCTCTCACTTAACAATAGAAAAAGGACATCATGGGGGACCAACTTGTACCGATTAGGCATTATTTGCTATATAGAGGGCGCAAGTAGCTACAAGTAGTGCAGTCCCGCTTTAAAGGTTGTTCATAGTCATTTTAATGCTCCTGTTTCTATCTCTATCCTCTCTCCATTTATACTTCTTTCTCTTGTCTTCCGTTTATCTCTCTTTCATTTTTTCTCAATCTACTTTTCTTTTTCTGTAACTCTCTGTTTCCTTCTTGTGAATCTCTTAATCTTCCATTCACCAATTTTTGTCTGTGATGGCTGTTTTACTCTAATGTGCAATAATTACATTGTTATTTGATTAAAAAGAATATACAATATTACATGTATATGTAACCCAAAATATAAATCCATTAAATTTTACTTAAGTTATATCATGCAACATATATTTAATGATTGAGCAATTTAAAAAATGAATTTATCAATGAGTGTTTAGTTTTGATTGAAAGCATTGCAGAATGCCATATTTAAAATGTGATTTCCACATGGATAAGAGCGGGAATTTTAAGTTTCTTTATGCAATTTTGTATTAACCACTATTTGGAATAAGATTATCTTTTTAAGAATGTGAAATGATGCATTTACCTTTCATGTACTATGGCAATCAAATCCTCCAAGTAATATTTAACAGAAAATCAAGTTATGAAATTTATCAACTGATATATTGATATAAATAATATGACTGATATGTTTAATTTTAACTATGTAGTAATTTTGTATAGGTAATGAAAAAAGGGGAAAGAAGATATTCACTCTGTACGTGCCACACAAAAGTAATAACCTTACCGTGCTTAACTGCGTTTATTATGGATAGAAATACCAAAGGCTACAAGATTAATAAACTGTTCCAGTGCAAGTTTAAATATTATTATGTAAATGTTCTTTGGAAATGTTCATTGTAACTCATGTTCATTTCAGTTGTTAACTGCCAGACACGAAGATCTTAATAAAATTCATTTATCTATCTATCTATCTATCATCTATCTGAATCTATTCCAGTGTTAAAAAGGTTGTCATTCCGCCAATCACGACCGGAAACGATTAATTTTGCGAAGCCATTGTGCTGCAAAAAGGAATATAATAATAATAATAATAACTTTTATTTACCCAGGGGTAGCCACTTCAGTTATGAAACTGTTTTTCCAGCGGGCCCTGCATAACATAATATGTTATTACTACCCTTCCTCCAATCTAATATGCTGAGCGCCTAGCTAGAAGGCAGAAGGTCCCATTGTTATAAGTCTTTGGTATGACTCGGCCGGGGTTCGAACCCACGACCTCCCGTTCATGAGGCGGGCGCTCTAACGACTGAGCCACCATGCCATCCTTGCATCAATGAGTGCCTATGCAAGCTTAACATGTGGCAAACAAGCTACCGTGCAGAGAGGTGAAGAAAGCAACCAAAGGGCAAAATGATATGTTTCAAACTGACAACTTTCATGTTTTTCTGGCATAAAATGTATTGATTTAGATGAAGCCGTTCAATGATTTTTGTCCTACTATAGGTTCCTATCGTTTTGCTAAACCATATATTGACGAAAGTCTCTCTTCTCTACAAATTATATACCTAATTGACATGCCTTTTACCTCAGTCTTACCAGCAAACGGATTCGATATAAACCCCCAAACCGATTGATTTTGGGCCATTCAGGGTAATTGAATCTTTTTTTCGGTCTAAAGTCGGGCTGGTTTTGGTCTCGTTGGCGGGACTGAGGTATTTAAATAATTAACTGTGCATCAGATTTGGTTGGTAAAATCTTTTAATTAAATTATTCCTCATTTGATGAAAGTGGTGCTGCAAATTGTAACCTGTATTTCATTTAGAAACATTGCTTTAGATGTTTGATGGGAGTTAATAATTGTGTATAAGAGGTCTAGTTGACCATTCGCTAAAACAATTGTTCACAATTTCAAGATTTTTGTGACATTTTGTACCTTTTAAAAGGTGCTTAGCCTTTTATGAAAAGGAACCAGCTTGATGGGTTGTAAACGAGTTTTCGGAAAGAGTGATGAGAAAGAAATAAATATAAATAATCATGAGATTAAAAGCGCTATTAAGAGATAAATCTGGTATGCATTTGTGTTGTGTCTACACCTGTAAATAAGCTGGAAGAAAATAAATATGAAAGAGAAGAAATAACAAAATCTGTGAGAATGCCAGACGTGTTTGTGGTAGAATATATTAGCCGCCGTGTAGGAATGTTGTGATGTGTGCCTGTAGAAGATCTGGAGTGAACTCTCTATGCACTTTAACACCAGACCCACTTCAATTCAGTGACGGGGTGTGTGGGAACAAAGTGGCGCATGCTTACGTCAGGAAGATAGAGTCCATTTTTCACACAGTGTCATAGATGAGACCCACCCAAATAAAGTGTAAAACACCCTCCCACCCCCCCTTGTTTTTGTTGTCACTTATGCTAGTCCAAGTCTTTGTACACATACTTGTGTCCCCTGTGGACAATAATCATTGATCTGCCACCTTAATTAACAACACATGGCATAGGTCTGTGTATGTGTGTACTTGGGGAGGGGGAGGGGGTGTTCAGGGGCACAACAGGCCCAAATCCCCTGTTCAAAAACCCGTCTTAAGTATGAAACCAAAGTAGTATGCCCTCTAAAAAGTATATCTTCTACATGTGTATCTTACTTATCATATTCATTTTGTTCATTCATTTTTACCTCTGAGAGATTTCTTAACCCCCCCCCCCCTCGCTCCGCTCCTTTACAAAACCCTTGATCAACCAATGACGAGTCATTGTCAAGAGAGTTAGCCTACCAAATCGGTAAAGAATAAACATTTCCTTCACCTGATCATACCATGGACCTAGGTCCATACCAACGCTTGCTAGTTGGCCTGTGTCTCTGTTCTCGTGGGCACTCCATAAACGTGAAAGTAAAAATTGAGGTACGTAGAATATCTATATTATCTTTATACATCTTCATTAAGTATTGAACGTAACTGCCTTTTGATGAAGTTTTGTCATATCAAACATGGAGTTGCTGAATATACTTTTTGTGACTGAGGAATTATCTATGAAAATGATGCTAGCAAACGATGTCACTGAAGTTGCAGTTTGTCATTGAAATATTAGAACAATCCGCAGATCGAGTATATTAGGCCTTTGAAAAAAGGTGTTGTAGTACCAGCACCTGGATCGGTCGGTCGATTAAACGAATTAAAAAAAAAGTACATAAACAAATCTTTAATATTACAAGCCGACCGTAGATTTTAAGATTTTGGGGTTGGTCGCAATGGGCAGTAACAGTGCTAATTAAAAATACAAGGCTACATGAGATGTGTTGATATATCTATGCGGTATTGGCATGGCCTACGGATAGTGTACTATGGAATCAAGAAAAAAGTAAAATGTGGATAATATGGAGAGAGAGAGAGAGAGAGAGAGACAGACAGAGAGAGAGCAAAACATGCAGAAACGAAACTGAAAGCGAACAAACAGAAACTCTGCCATTATTATGTCTCTTTGCGAAACGAGAGAAATTGGAAAATAAGAGATACGATATAATTGAATTGATAAGAATTGATTATCAACATGTTTAGAAGCGACTGAATTAAGAAAATAAGAGAAGGATGTAAAATTATGAAAGGGAGATGAGAAAGAGAAATGCATGATCCCGAACTAGAAGAAAAGGAAGCAGCAGAGATGAGTAAAAAATCTAAAAAGAAAGAATAAAAACCAGATATCATTTGATTCAACACTATTGCCCATAACGTTAGATTTTGTTCACCCCTTCATAAAATGTTTGTCATATTATGACCCCCCCCCCCTGATAGATATAGTTTATCATCTTAATATTTCTCTTTATTGATCAATCTCTATGCATTTTTAGATTTATCAATAATAGTAGACCAACCAAGACGCGATTTTTCACTGTGGGCGGCTTTTTTTTTTTTTTTTGGGGGGGGGGGGGGTAATTAATGCATGGCATCCGTAGTAAAACTTTTGCAAAAATGTCTAAGAATAAGATAAAGGTGGATACAGCGCGCATTCTTGGCTAAAAATGTATTATTGGAGATCGAGAGTTGAAAGAATGTCAACAATCCTGATTATTAACTTTTTGGCATAATATTTATTTATAGTGAACAGGCGCGTACACGGGGGGGGGGGGGGTATTTTTTTTTTTGTGTAACCCCCCCTAAATTTCCCTAAACCCCCCCTTTTTGTAATTTTTGTTTTTTTGTTTTTTTGTTTTTTATTAAAAAAAAAAAAAATATTCCCATGGCTGACCTCAAAAAGATGACCTTACCCCCCCCCCCCCCAACGGAGCAAAATGTCAAATTTTCAAATTTCGATACAAAAAAAAAAAAAAGTGTCCTCTTACCCTTAAACCCCCCCCCCCCCCTTGAAAAAATCCTGCGTACGCGCCTGTACAGTGCGTCCCAGAAAATAACGAAACCGAGAATTATCGATGTTTTATCATAACATCATCGCAATTATAATTAATAAATGACACATATTTGAAAAGCTTAGATCCTCCTGTTTCATTTTTGATGCAACTCATACATGCATATTTCACGCACGAGTGATTAAAACAATGTGAATAGAGGAAACAAAAAAAGTAATTTGACGGGCGGTATCTGAATTACAAAGAGAAAATAACATTTCTACAAAGTTCAATTTCTGTCCTTTCATAAGACACCTCAATCAGGAAAAATGAGCCATGAATAACAAAGTTCTGTTTGTTTAAAGTAATGCTTGCATTTCCATAATTTTGACAAAGTTTACAAAAGACTTAACTCCGTTTCGTTGACGCACAGCCATGCATCAAGTCTTTCGTCTTCTTTGTGCATGACTGATCGTCAACAAAATGGAGTTAAGTCTTTTGTCAAATAATAATAATAAGGGTCATTTTGGGGGATTTTTTTCTCGCAAAAAAGCCCTTTTTTCGCAATTTTGGAAATTTTGAAAAAACGGACCCATGTTAAGGGATATTTGTGTTAAAAAGGGGACCCATGTTTAGGGATTTTTAGTGACCGGCATTAGAGTGGCACATCCCGTATGTCTTGATATTTAATCCCCCACCGTTTTTTATCTTCATGGGAGTGACTCAATTCAGCTTGAGTCTTTCGGGCCAGGTATAATAAATGGGTACGTGGGTGGATTCATTCCTTGAATGCACTGAGCGCAATATACGTTTGCCGGAGCTAAAGGCGACGGGTTGTCAAATCCCTTGCATACACATTCCTAGTCCATCCTGAGTTGCTGTATGGCTCTGCATCTTGGAGTCCATGGAGAAGACAAAACAGCCACAGACGGGTTATCGCAGATATTTAAACAAAAGAAGAAGAAAACATATATTTTGCCATGATTACGAACTATAAGTATTAGGATTAGAGAATGTTCTTTTTTTGTTAAAGAAAATTATTTGACATACAGCCGGGTTGGGCGTGGAGGGGGTACTTCCACTATCTAGATACAAAGACTTGAATATGCACAAAATAATCTCTCCACCCTTAAAAAGGGGGCACGTGACTAAAATGTAAGAATTATCGATCTTGACTTTAGATGGCGCTGTACAAAAAATCATAGAGATCCATCGATGAAGAGATTATTATACAGTGCGTCCAAGAAAAAATGAAACCGAGAGTTATCGATGTTTTATCAATACTTTATCACAATTGTAATGAATAAATGACACATATTCTTACAGCTTAGATCCTCATCTTTCATTTGATGCATTATGATGCATATTTTCACGCATGAGTGATTAAAAACAATCTTTGGGAGATGGCCCCCCCCCCTGGCGCTCAAGGATGCAATTTTTCAAATTTTCGAGGGCCAAAAAAAAATAATTAGTGCTCACTAACCCCCCCCCCCCCCCTCCCCCCACTGAGCGAATTTTTGGCTGGCGCGATTTTCAAATTTTGGGGAGCAAAAAAAAAAAAAAAAAAAAAAAATAATAATTGTGTCACTACCCCCCCCCCCCCACTGAGCGAATATTGACCGGCACTATTTTCATATTTGGGCCCCACCCCTAAGAAATCCTGGATCCGCGCCTGCTTTCATATGACACCTCAATCGGAAAAAGAGGCAGGAATAACAAATTTCTGTTTATTTAAAGTAACGCTTGCATTTCCATAATATTATTTAACGAATTTGTTTTCACTGGCTCCCTGCCGTAACAACAAACACCAACCTCCGTTTCGTTGACGATCAGCCATGCATGTAATCTTACGTCTACTTTGCTCTTGGCACATTGAAGGCCGAGTTGCCCTTTTTGTCTTCGCTTCTTATATGGTGCTATTCAGGATAATAAGGTTAAATCTTATCTGACAATTTTTTTGTAATTGATATGAGAATAGGATGTATAGCATCGATCATGATATCGTCTTTTAATGTTTACCATATGTCAATTTTATAGTATAATAATAGTATCAGTAAGATCATCAAGGATGTATGAATACCCAAATCAGTTCTTCAAATTTTGTTACAGAATCCTTGTCTCTGTCTTTCCCATGTTTCCTCTGTCTCTCTCTCTTTACCTCTGTTTCTCAGCCTTTGTAACTGCACATTCAGTCTCTCTGCATCTGCTCTCTCTCTCTCTCTTTCCTCCCATCCTATTCCAAAGTAACACATGAAGTTATGTAGTCGCTCAACTCACTTAGTAAGCTTTCAAGAATACTGGTTTTGAATCAAACTGAACTGATTCCGTACTAGGAATTCAGATATTGGCAGTTAGGAAAGAGAGCTTGAACAAATTGAGACCAAACAAAAGTAAAACAAATATTTAAAAAAATACCATTATATCATTAGTCATGATTACATTGTTGTTTATTGTGTTCAATCAAGACACACTGTAGTAACAAAACATTTCTGAAATATCTGAATACATGTGTATTGAACTTGCAAACAAAATTAAAAAGCTTTTTACCTGATACTCAGCATATATTACCATAAGTTTAGACATATCAAATATGTACAAACAACACCACAATGGCCATGGAGTAAACACATTTTTACTTCATTATATTGGAAGCCTGAATGATTGTTGACGATATATTGACATGTTATAATGGACCAGTGATATAAATGATTTGTTTTATTTAAAATCATCTCGCAGCCCGAATGCTGAATTGTGTGACTTTTGACAATTTTATAAAAACATTAAAATACAATAAATAAATGTGAAATCAAACATTACGTGACATGAATTTAAAATTTGTTCAAGATTATAGTAAAAGTATATAATATAAAGATATATATAAATATGTACATACAATGATATTTCCTCTCTGATGTTCTTTGACTTTTAACGGGTCGTGTTTGTTTGTAACGAGAGCCGGCTATTAAAATAATTGCAATAGACTGTAAAAGTGAATAATTGCTTTATTGTGACAGATTAAAAAGATCAGTGAAATATAGTGATACATTGGAAAAGTACTTCAAATTGACAGAAAATAAGTTAAAATTTACGATACCACAATATAGATATACTTTTAATATTCATGGGTTTTATACGGATCATGTGCTGATCGGTTTGTCAGTAGGGCCAGCTTTTTCAAATCGTTACAATAGAAACAAATAGAGAGTGACCGATAAAATAGGAGAGAGAGGGGATTGAGAAAGAGAAAGAGAGAGAATAGGAGAGAGAGAGAGAGAGAGAGAGAGAAAGAGCTAGAAACAATGGAAGAGGAGAAGAAGTTTAGCAGTTACGATTGATACAGCAATGATTTGTCAATTAACTGGATAGAGTTCATTAAAAAGTATAATATCATTTTACAAACTGGTAATATATATATATATTAAGAAGTGAAAAGAAATTGATCATCTGGTCTTGCGCATAGACTAACTAACTATGTTTGGCGATCATATAGTTACATATCATTCAATAGATCGACCAAGAATGGAATTGGGCTTATTTTGTACCTATCAATTCTGCATCTGATTGCAGGATAAGGAGCCACCCTTCTCAGAGATTGAGAATATCTATCCTGGCGTGGGCGTGGCAACCAGTCCCTCATTTATGATATTTGCATGAAAGTACGTGTATGGATAACTGCATCAAGAATACATACATAATTTTCAAATATATTCAGAAATCTACTTTCATCCTTGAATGTGTTTCAAATCCTATCATGAATTTAGGGACGCGTTTAGCAAGTGATATTGTGCCCGGCAACTTATTTGGTATCTTATTTACATTATATAGATCACCAACATTCATAATATTAGCAGAGTGTATATCAGTGCAGAGGAACAATTTGTGCCGCAACAAGGGTATGTGTATGTATATAATATATATATATATCGAGAGAGAGAGAGAGAGATCAAAGACATGTACAAAAAGCAGGGCATTCAGGAAGAAGAACAACAGTCAAGTTGATGAGGCTACCCCGGGTAAACAATATTATCAATATGATTATTATAATCATTGATTAATAGGGGTAATACAGCTCATACCTTCATATCATTAGGGAGTGGATGTTTAGGGAGAATGTCATCGCTAGCATCAGTGCTAAATGCTTCATTAACAAATGCCGGTTCGACTTTCATGGTTACAGCAGATTTGTTGTCGACAACCTTTCCGTCATTTATTGGTCTGATAATCTGGCGTAGTAGCATACAAGTGACGGCAACTCCAACCGAAAAGAAAAGCATAAAGAACAATAAGAGAGTGATGATGTCGGCCTGCCAATCTAAAGCCTGAACGAGTATGGAAACGGCCATCATGATCGCGTAGGTGAAGATAACACCACAGATATAAAGGATCTCGACGACAGTGCTTGGGGGTTGGAACGGTTCGTCGTACTTGTCACCTTTGATCTTTTTCTCGATCCACAAGAAGAACCACATGACCAACCAAGCGAAAAGAATCCCGACGTATTCGATGGCGGGAATCCGCACCAGTTCGTTTAGGCGCACCCAGTATCGTCCGTCGCCGTCTGGTAGAACAAACCCGTAGATGCATATCCCGGTGATGAGATAAACCGTAAAAGGAACAAAGCGACACCACTTTGGGATGTGCTGCCAGAATGGTAAACCAAAAAGCTGCGTCATGACCAACAGCCAGAGGAATCCAAACATGAACATGGGAAAGAGGGTAGGGAGGAAGTTTCCTGTCTGCCAAGCTACCACGGTACCATGGATGATTACCCAAGCCTCTAGAAGGAGACGCCAGTAGCGGTTGAGATGGACCTGAGTGAACATCAGACTCCCCTGCAGTAAGAACATCCAGGTGTGCGTGAAACCCATCACATGGCCGATGGTGTTCTCCATAGGATGATGCCAGAAGGTAAAGACAGCACCCCAAGCAAAGACATAGCCATGGTACTTGCGGATCATCGCCTGCGGACCCCAAGGAAGTCTCATCTTATTGCTTATCTTACCCTTGTCATCCTGAGATGGCCATCCGAAAGCCATTCCGCGATTTCGGTATTCCAACATTAGGATGAAAATGAGCATAATGATGGCAGAGCCGATGTTGCTTGGTCCTGAGACGTCCTGGGCCAGAGAATCGTAAGTCCAATGGGTCTGTCCAAGGTGAATCAGATGGAAGACCATGTTTCCTATCAAGGCAACCAAGTTGAAGTTATTCAGCTTGGAAGAATACCGCGGGACGTTGGGATCGGCGTAAACCGTCTTCTTCTTCTGAGCGTAATAGATGCAGGACCAGACGAAGAGTTGATGCAGGGTGTAACAAAGCCAAGGTATAATCCTGGTGAGAGCAGAGACCTCGACGGGCTTCAGTTTCCAGTAGTACCATCGTGATGTGGCTCCTATACCGCATCGGCCAATGACACCGGGCTCCTCCACGAAGGGTTCTGAGAGGAAACGCTCCTCGGAGGTTTCACTTGTGTTGTGTGTAAATCCTGAGTCAGCGTCCCATCGCCTGGCACGTCCGATAAACATCACGGCTATGAGCAGGAGAAAGATAAAGATAACACCAAGCATCCAGGCAATCACATCAGCCCTAAATAAAGGTTTAGTCTGCGGATAGAACAGAAAGAAAGATGAGAAAATGTTATTGAACAGGTTACAGTTTTAATTATTTTATTATTCTTTTGGGTTGGGAGGAGAGAGGGGAAGGGGAGCTCGAGAGCTTATCCTCACAAAAACTAGTTACCACCCTCAACCATTACCAGCAAAGGAGACAACTTTTAAGGGTGTTTTATAATTTACAGATATTCATGTCTTTACTAATAATCATAGGAAAGCGGATATATATTTCTTTGATTCTAGTTGAACAAGATAACGCTACAAAGCAGTGGAGTACCCAGTAAGATACGAATGATATTCATCACTTTTTCACTTTGTACTAAATTCTATACGAAATATTCGTTTCTGATACACGTCGTATACACGGGCGTACTGATGGGGGGGGGGGGGGGGGGGGCAGTTGCCCCCAAATAAAATTCAAACGTGGTTTATTTCTAACAAATGTTGCTGAAAGGACATGATCTTCCATGTTTTTCTCACTTTTGCCCATTATGCCCCCCAAGCTAATTTAGCTCATTATGCTACTGGTAGTATATGCAAGTCATAAACTACACAATAGCCCTTCCAACCTGAATGACAATACATCAACATAAAGAAGAAATTAAACTGAGAAGGAAAAGAACTAGATCAGAAGAAGAAGAAGAAGAAGAAAAAGAAAAAAAAGAAGAAGAAAAAAAAAAAAAAGAAGAAGAAGAATATGCACAACAAAAAGAATATTCAAAAAAAGAAGAAGCAAAAAGATGCAGAATAATAAAAAGAATAGAAGAACAAGAAGATGCAGAAGAGGAAGCAGAAGAGGTAGAAAGAAGAAGGAGGAATAGAAGAAGGAGGAGGAGGAGGAGGAGGACAAGGAGGAGGAGGAGAAGAAGCAGGAGAAGAAGGAGGTGAAGAAGGAGGAGGAGGAGAAGATACATACCGTTTTCTCTTTGTCAACTTTTGAATCTTTCCCAGCGGCGTCCTCCATGTTTCATCAATAGCCTTCCCCTATTAAAGAGAACAAGAATACAAGATGTATCGTAGGCTATGTATAACCAATTTAACTCACATGCCCTGGTATAACAATATTATTATCGAGGGTACAAAATACCTTAAGGCAGCGGTTCTAACAAATATTCAATTAAATTACTTACTTCCCAACTTGAAGGCAAGCAAAAATAGAAAACTTTAATAATTTTTCTCCTTTGAAACCTTCTGAACACCAATTAAGTCACTCAGCAAACTTTTTCAACACTATATATAATATTCACACTCGTCAAAACAGTGAAAAGTAATGTGTCATTAAGATATTTTTCAGTATTGTGTGTATCCCAATTTACTAAAATGGCTCATCTTTTATCTGCGATAATTGTGTAAGTCGAACTCCTTGGTTTTACACATACTATATAGCTCAATGTACTTTCACCAAGGCTAAATCGGGGTTTATTTCTTTATAACGTGGTCCCCGTCTACAAGCAGGGAGATATAACAGATCCTGAGAATTACCGCCCAATCTCTCTTACAAGTATCATCTGCAAAATGAAGGAGCACATATTTGCAAATAACATCATGGGTCGATCATGCACGTAGAAACAACATCCTCTGCCCATTTCATCGTGGTTTTCATACTAAGAAGTCACGTGAACTCTAACTGACTGGCTTTGTCACTGATGACCTCTTGAACAACACGGAGGACAATAATCAGACGGACATATAATCACCGACTTAAGTACAGTAAAGCCTTCGATAAGGTTGGTCACCTACAGAGGCTTCTAAAGAAGATGGAATACTAAGGTGTGAGAGGCCACAACATTGACTAGATATCCAGTTTTCTCTCCAACCGTAAGCAGCAAGTTGCCCTGGATGGTCATCCGCCATCCACGGTAGGTCCAGTCAGGAGTGCATCAAGGGTCAGAACTCGGACCATGCCTCTTCCTTGTTTACATAGATGACTTGCCAACCCAACTTTCAACGAAAGTCGGACTCCTCGCTGATGACACAGTTTTGCACCATGCCATCCAGACACATGAGGGTGCGGAATTGCTACAGCAGGATCTTTCTTACAAGGAACCTACCTGCGTGTCAACTCCACTCGGTCTAATTAGACTATTGCATACCAGCTCCCGATCGTTCGTCCTCTTCTTGAGTCTGGGATCCCCGGCTGGGATCAGAGTAGGCTACTGTCTGGGATCCAAACATTATGTCTAAACCAGATGGTCCAGAGACGAGCAGCGAGATATGTTCTCAACCGCTATCACCATATACATCTAGCGTCTCTGACATGCTGTGAGTCAACTTGTATGGACCTTGATCCCTCCAGAAGAGAGCATCGATCAACGTCTCACCTTACTGTACAATATGGACTTTTAGATTCGCACGAAGACAATGGGGATTGTTACGGTCGACGTCCTTTTATGTCACACGTATCAGTCCACGCAAATCTAAAAGTCCCTGATATATACTCTTGTACCACTACATCCAACCGGCAACAGTCGTAAGAACTACAAGATCGTCTCGTCTATACTGTTATCGTATCATGCAGTCACGAATAGCTAGAGCAACATATTCACTCCTTCTTTAATTCCTCGCACTGTTCGACAGTGGAACGCCTTCCCTCTTGAGGTTGTCATGGCTCCATTAGTGGAAGCCTTCCAGCGACAACTAAAGACAGGAGGGAAGTATATTCCGGCAATATTTTCGTTGGCACTGCCTTTCACCTGCACACCTTGGTACCCTCATGTTGCGACATGCCCACATGCACTTACAAACATGTAAGAGTCTTCAGCAGTGAAGGAGGCATTATCTTGAAAAAGAAGAAGAAGAAGAAGAAGAAGAAGAAGAATATCAAACATACTTCTGGTGTATAATTGCCTTTTTTCTCATGAAAATTGAATTTCGTTTGTAACTATTGAATGATACTGTATGAGCTGAAGTTATGCAGCACTCCTAATTTGAATATAACTTACACCTGTATGTGCTCATCGTTAAACAGCCATGCACATTCATTCAGAAGCAACCATGCAGAAAGCACTCTTCAACACAGTACTCTTGGCACACAGAGTGTATGATGTATTTAATGAGTTATTAGCCATGCACACATTCAAACCCCATACACTGCCTTATGTACTGTACATGTGAGAGTGGTAAGTTGCACTTGACCACTAGCATGCACAGCATAAGCATCATGTTTTAGTTACACCAATAAACTCCTGAACCTCAAGCAAAAATATGTGGAGCTTTATTACTTTCTTGACCCAGCTACATTTAGTAAAGTACTAACCAAGAAGTCTACACAACAAACCCACTATTTTTGACAGATACAGACAAATTTACTATGTGAGATGTTTCAGTTCTCTTACCTGTTAATTAAATATAATACGCTGTATTTCCTCCTTAAGGCAGCTTATAATGCTGGTAGTAGAAGAATGTGCATCCACTAAAAAGATCAAATTCAATGTTGATGACAAGACACGCTGCACAAATTATCGTCCCAATATTTTCGTATTATATAAGCCAAGATAACTACAGGACGGGGTGGCAAACACTTTCTTTTGTTGTCGAGAAACTAGGTCGCAGTTCGGATCGTTAAGGTCTAGTGGTTATTCATTGATGTTTTACAATAACAGGTATTCTGTTACCTTACTACACCACACGTTTCATAACACCTATACAGGGTGCTCACTCATCCATACAGTCAGATTGAGGTTACTTGAGTTGAGAAGGCGACTTTTCAATTAAGGAAACGGATTATCGTTTTATTTCAATACTTCCTCATCATAAAGACAAAGTTAATACAGAATCTGCGTAATCATTTTTCGTATATCAATTTAGATGCATGAAAGAGACACAAGTGGATATAACCAGGCTCACATAGCTACCACAGATTTTCCGTCCCCCCCCCCCCCCGCTTATTCACCGGCTGGTTGCATGATTCGCCGCTAAATATTTTCTCACGGATTGGGCAAACAAAAATAACAAATAGTGCTCCTTAGCCCCCCCCCCCCCCGCTTATTCGCCGCTAAATATTTTCTCAAGATTTGCGCCCCGCCCCCTTTGCCGCCGGCTGGATCCGCCTCTGTAAAAAAACATCTCTCCCTTAAAAAGAGGGTCCGTCTATATATGACTGTAATTTGTAAGAATTATATTCGATCATGACTCTAGATGGCGTTGTAATTTTTTTTTATAGAGATCCATCAATGACAATGTAGAGATCATAACAGGCGCTAAAGCCAGGCGCCATCTTACTGCGGGCAAAAACTCTGCGTCCTCCCTTGATTGGCGTTATGTGTAACTCTATATGGGAGCTAGTTTAAACCAACACAAATCCATCACGTGTACTATTTTATTTGGGTTTATATCTCTGTATGCAAATTAAAATTCACTTGGCCAGCTATGTGTTGATAATATGTTCTGCTTGAATTGAAACAAAAAGAAGAGAGATTGAGTAGGACCATAAGATATGATATAGTCAATTAATGAGACGGTGATCACAATGTTTGCAACGTGACTTGACTTGAAGATTTAATGAACGATGATAACCCAACTATGTCTTCTAGTCTCTCGTAGGCCTATATGTCATGACTCCCCCATGAATAGTTAATCCTGTTATTTGTATTAAATATATTCCGGGTTTTAATTATAACAAATATATTTTAAACACTTGCTGGGAGCATTTTCTGATGAAAAAAGGGGGATATATATAATCATATCGAGGCTTACTTGCTCAAGATGGATGCATTGTGTACTGGAAATCTGAAATGGTTAACTATATTGATTTTTTCAGATCTCAATTTTTAGTGCATAGCAATTGCAGATTTATCTTCAATCAGGGGCCTTGAGTACCACATCGAAAAATGTAGATCTCAGTTTGTGTCATAATGTGATAGATCTAGTAGAGAGTCTAGATTTCCATATTTTTAAAGTCCGATTACATCAGAAGATTCGCCGGCCAGTTCAGTTACGTCGATTTTGCCCTCATTAAGATGGCGCCCGGCCTGTTCAATTGCACACAACAGCAATTGTGCGGCTGTACACGCATACTAGTGATTGTGCTCTCTATCTAGGATTATGTAGGATCTCAATGGGATCGGTCAAATCATAGCGTGTCGTATCCACGGATACCGCGATAATTTCATTCTGTTTTATGGAATATCCCTCTCAAATTATGAACTGACGTGCTTTCAAAATGTCTCTAGAGTGTTTCCAGGCATCTCTTGTCCTCGGTATAGCAGGTAATGCACTTGGTAGTAAAGGAGAAAAGTGGGGAACTGCCAAATCGAGTGCCGAAAAACAAAAGGTAATCGGAGATCTCGGTGGACTCGGGGCCATCAGTGTCGGTTCACCCGCCTGGCCCGTGGGGGAGGAGGGAGTGTTCGCTGTAACTACGATCGAAGCTTTAGCGACGGGGAAGACAGGCGAGGAATTGGTACGAGATGTTGCTATGCGTTACGCGGATAGTATGGCTACTGATATGGCCAATAAACCAATCAGTACTTACCTTTTGAATCAAGTCTCTCGTCTCCAACCAACAGATATAGATTATGGCATATTTCAGGATTATAATGACCATGCAACTCACAGCTCTGCGGCCATTCGATGCTTCGGTGTGGGTCTTCGATTTCACAAAGCGAAACACATTCAAGATCTGGTGGCAGCTGCGATAGACATCAGCAGAATACTACACCATCATCCTGTAGCATACATGGGGGGAGTAACGGCTGCATTATTTACATCTTATGCCATCCAGGAGAAGGAATTGAGAGAGTGGGGTGCAGGCCTCATGACCACTATTCCTATGGTGCTTGAATATGTCGCATCTAGTGACAGGGATGTCGTCCAAAATATGTCAACATACCAGGTGACCTCATCAATTCAATGTTGTCGTAGATCTCAGTTTCGAGTCCTGTTCCTTATTTTTCTGCTCTACTATCATCATCATACTAACATTATCGATAATCACTACCAATTATCATCCGTATTGTATATCAATATCTTGGTTTAAAACCATTCCATAATGATGATGTGGATGCATGGTAGTGATAATGATGATGATGACTGAAATAGGGATGGTTATGAGTACTATTATGATTAAGAATAATAGATAGGCCTATAGAGTAGGCAAATATTAATCGACTATGAGGGTAATGGTGCAAACTATCTCGCCGAGGTGATCTCGGGGCTACTATCTTCCGAGCCGTAAGGCGAGGGAAGATGGTAGCCCCGTGATCACCGAGGCGATGATATAGTTTGTATCCATTGCCAGAGTAAAGGAGGTTAATATTTGTTTTATATCCCACATCAGCAATAAGGTCTATTTAAAGTGAATTTTACATAATAATAAGAACTGATTCTGCAGACAGTTTAGCTTTAGCTAGATTTTACAAAGCGCAACATGCATACATGTAATACAGTCGATGCACGCTCATTTGACATTGACATTGACTTTGACATTTCGCGTAACCTACTTTGCTATGCGTATTCAATGGGCAAGGGTGGGCAAGTGGGGTAGCAGCAAAAAATTACTTTACAATAAGTACTATCTCAGGTAGATAGTACTTATCTATACCTTTTTCGTGCTCTGTACAATCGCAATGCAAACAACTATACATGAGGGATATAATTCATAATAAATTTTGCTTGATTTTCGTTTCAATTTTTTAATGAAATTTGATGAAACCAAAGGCAGACAAGAATTGCAACACGACTCATTTGAATATCAATTATATGGAGAGTTGTTTATATATAATAGGGACAGGTCGACCCATTGAAGTTGGGGGTCATTTTTATCCCCTTCCCCCCCCCCCCCCCCCCAGAAAAGAAAACAAATATTACAAAAATTCAAATGTACTATTATTCTTTTATTTTTTATTCTATTAACAGAATTTAAACAGTCTTAATATGTTTGTGTAACTTCTCACGATTTGCTTGTTTGTTGATCTTGAAATTTCCCCCCTCACTTTAATTTTGATTTTCTTTTTAAAAAAAGGTGTTTGAGCAGACATGGAGAGAGTATCTCCGAATGAGAGGCATAGCTGATGGTCAGAGGAGACCAAAGTTTCCAAGGAAGTATGACATGAAGAAAAGGAATGAACTCTATCAAAGTCTGGCACTACCTAATAAGGAGCTTGGCGCAAGTGGACTTGATGCAACTCTCATAGCGTGAGTTAAATTAAATTCCAAGAATGATGAATGAATCAGATCAGTCATGATCAAGCATCATATCCTAACTTTGTGCACTCGACGGAGAGCTTATGACAGTGTTAAGAGAAGAAAATGGCCCTCTTACCCAAGAATTTTTGTTTAAAACTCAACCTTGTGTTATATCTTATACTTGTGCACTTGACGAGAGCTCAGCTATGCCAGTGTTAAGAAACAAAATTGGTCCTCTTCAACCCCTATTTTGTTCATCTAAATCTATACCAAGCATGTAATTTTTCTGAAATTCAACCTAATACAGATCTATCATACCTATTTTATTCTCTATTGCAGTCTTGACTGTGAAGTACAGGCAAATATGTACAAGAAAATTCAGGCCTGCAAACTGACTTTTTTCATAGAGTATCTGGATTAAGAGTTATTATAGGGTCTGCGTCACAAGTCCTTAATTGTCCTTCTAATTGTAAAAAGAAAATAAATAAAATTCTTTAAAGTGATATATCTGCATGATTGTTTTATTGAATTTCCCTCTTCTACTTCCCTTTTCTCACTTCTTTCTTGTCTCATTTACCTGTATCTTTTTTGTTATAACTTCTTTCACAGTTATGATGCCTTACTATCTTCAGGGGGTAGCTGGGAGGATCTTTGTAACAACTCTATGTTCCATGCTGGTCAGGGTAATGTGTCTGGCGCCCTCGCTGCTGGGTGGTGGGGCATTCAACATGGTTTCAGCTCTGTTCCGCTAAGCAACTACAACTCAATAGACTTCAAGGATCGCTTAATGATTGCAGCTACCAAGCTTTATGAGCTCAGCTGGTAATGGTGACTGCTGATATTTCTGGGAGATAATTTATTTCTGTCTTTGTCATGAAGGGGAATTTCCTTGGGAAAGTTCCCCCTTCTAACAAGCTTAGGAAACGGAACATACAATGTTAGAACAGGAAAATCTGAGAGAAATTCTATGAAGAATGAGAAAGTTATGAATTTAAAAGTTGTGATGCAGATATATACTAAAACCCTTGTGAGCATTTTTTTGTTGGTATAATTTTTGTATAGAAATTAAAACAATTAAAAAAAGCCCCTTTCTTTTTGGTTGTCGAACAAATTAGAGTATTGATTAGATGGGGCATGTATGAAAAATTTTGTGAAATGCAACTCTCTTTCTGTTGAATTCCAGTCCTTTGATATTAAGACAGACTTTTTATGATGTCTTAAAGCATTTAAATAATACAAAAAATAAAAAAATATATATACATGAATATCCGCAACTCTTTTTCTGTCAAATTTCAGTCCCTTAGATTTTATTTTAAAAGGGTTACCTTTCATATTATTGGCAAATCATCAATATTTATATAATTTCATTTTTTGTTAATTATATATTTGTTTTCTCTCTTTGTCTTTTTCCATCCTTCTTGGGTTTCTCTTACATTATGATGGGTGGTGATGAGTACTTGCATACTTATTTTAAGCACAAATTATTCAAAACATGATTAGCTTTTTATGCAAGTATCTTTCCTATTTATTCCATTTATTGATGCCTCTGATATAAATAATATGGTTTTGAGTTATTCATAACCTCATTTAGGATCAGTGAATATTATATACATGTAGATGAACATCAATATCAGTTAATGAGTTTTGTTTGTAATGATTTGAATTTGGGTAGAATTCAACTCAATATGTTTGTAGGAAAGGTGGAATATTACCTTCGTTTAACTATAAGTCACATGCACAATGGCTTTATTGTACTTTTCTCAAATATGACTATCATTATAAGATTTCCATTCTCGTATTGAACTGTGTATTGTATGCACCTTGTCTTGTCTGAAGTCGTATAGTGTGCGATTTAAAATGCAGGCAATATTCTTCATTAGTACAATCAAGAATCAAGCATGCATACAGCCATGACTTCTAATTTAGTGTGTAAACATCAAAGTATCATTAGATCATTATCTACTAAGCATACTCGCAAAGTAAAGGTACCTGCCAGACCTAAATCCAGTAGTAAATCAAATACTAAATGACACGAGTTTGCAGCTGAAACCATAATGGCTCTTTTCAAGGATGACCAGTTTAAAGACTTACTACGTGAAACTGTCACATCTCTTGTCACTTCATGCATTGCTAGTATAGAGTCTAAGCTAACCACTTCCATTGAACAAAATAGGGTGTGTATTGAACAGCAACAGGGTATTCTTCATGATGTCCAAAATCAAATGGACTCCACACGTACACATTTCACTGATCTTCAAACATCTCTAGGCAATGCTAAAACTGCCTTCAAGAAGTATGAGAATGAATTAGAAGACTTAAAACAATACAGTCGTCGTAACTCCATCCGCATCTTAGGCTTACCTGAGATGCCAAGTGAAAACACTGATCAACTCGCCATTGACCTAGTAACCAAATCTCTTGGCATTAACTTGTCCCCCGCCAACATCGACAGATCCCACCGGGTTGGAAAACCACGTTCTTCAAGTGCTCCAGCTAATGCTCCTCCAGATGATTCTACTCCATCAACTCGTAAGATGTATGACAGACGGTCGTCCCAAGCCAGGAATCTACACCAGTCCGCGAATAGGCCCCGACCGATACTAGTCAAACTATGTTCTTATCACCATAAGCAGATCATAATGAGTAAGAAGTCACAACTCAAAGAGTCAGGATTTATGATTACGGAAGATCTCACAAAAAGGAACTTTCAATTACTAATGGATACTCGCAGATCAAAACAAGTAGAGACTGCATGGACAATAGATGGAAAAGTGTTTGCAGCAGTCAAGACAGCAGGAAGTAAACCAATGAAGAAGTTGATAAGCTCACTTGATCAACTGAACTCTCTCTGAATTTTGCACAGTCGACTTTAAAAAAGAAAAAATCAATCCAAGATTAAGTACCTTGGATATCCATTTACTGCATGCACCATGATATGAAGATGCTTTTCCTGGTATTCCACATGCATCTTTCCTTGGAACTTTTTGAACTTTTTTGAAATTTACTGAGACAATTGACTATTATTTGCTCAAGTTGTGTAATGAAAATAAAGGAATTTACTTACTTGGGGACTTTAATATAAATCTCCTAAATTATTCTAGTGATACCAAAATGTATGATTTCTTAAATACAATGTATTCACACTACATGTTTCCTCTGATCACAAAACCATCACGTATTATCCCAAATACAGCTACACTTATCGATAATATTTTTACTAATTGCTTACACAACGACTTACAGAGTGGTCTGATTTATTCTGATATATCAGACCACTTCCCAGTATGGTGTGTGAACAATAAACAGATTATTGAATATGCAAGTGTCAACACCACCCCCAATGGTAGACTTATTAATAATAATCAACTTTTACAATTTAAATACAAACTCTTGAATGTTGATTGGACTCCAGTCCGAAATACTGTAGATGCAAACAAATCATATGACTTATTTATTCATATATTATCCAATTTGTATAATGAATGTTTCCCTATTGTTCAGAGGCGTAACTCTAAATTGAAGTGTAAAAGCCCATGGATTACAACTGGTATATTGAAATCAATTCATGTCAAACAGAAAAAATCTGTAAGTAAGAGAAAATATGTTAAATATAAAAACTCACTTACTGCTACTATAAGATCTTCTAAAAAGAAATATTTTTATAATATGTTTCATAAGATAAAAGGGGACATGAAAAAAACTTGGAGTAATATCAATGGACTTTTAGGGAAAAGGCGTCAAAATATTCCTGCGAAAATGTATCATGAAAATATTCATCTGTCCTCACCTCATATTATCTCAAATTCCTTTAACCATTATTTTGTCAATATTGCTGAAAATATTTCTCAGGATATACCTACCTCTTTTCATATATTTCATGACTTCATGCCTGTTGATAAGAGCTTCTCTTCTCTATTCCTAACACCTACATCTGTATATGAACTTCTAAAAATTGTTTCTTCTATGAAATCATCTAAAGCAAGTGGGTCTGATGATATGGCCCCCAAAGTTCTTAAGGACTCTATTCATTTACTTGTTGATCAGCTTTGTATAATATCTAATAAATCACTATCACAAGGGATTATACCTGACAGACTCAAAGTTTCCAAGATTATACCTGTGTACAAAAAGAAAAACCCTCAAAATTTGGAAAACTACAGACCTATATCATTGTTACCATTTTTTTCCAAAATTCTAGAAAGAGTTGTTCATAAAAGATTGTATTCCCACCTTCAAATTAATGACATTCTCATACCTGAACAATTTAGTTTCCGTGAAAATTTTTCAACTTCTATGGGTGTATTAAATATTGCAAATTTTATATCACAACATTTAAGAAAATCAATATTTTACCAATCTCTGAATTAATTTCTATGAACTCTCTTATTTTTATGTATAAATACCAGTCTGGATTTTTACCAAAAATATTTGAAAATATGTTCACCCATAATTCGTCTGTACATAATTACAACACTCGTCAATGTAAACTATTTCATCAACATAAGATTTCCACCTCCATGGCCTCAAACTCATTCTGTGTAAAATATATTAAATTGTGGAACAGCCTTGATCACAGTATTCAACAAAGCTCAACTCTGTCAAAATTCAAATTTTCTATAAAAAGACTGTATCTCACCAATATTAATACGTGCTAAGTAGATATATAAAATGCATTAATTAATTCTAATTTTCTTCTCCTATTTCATGAGCTCTCTCCACTCCTACAATTTTCTCTTTCTCTTTGCTTTTCACCATGCCTACTCATTCTAATTTTTTTCTTCTGCAATACTGACTCCCCCCTCTCTCTTTCTCTTTCTCTTTCTCCTTCTCTCTATGTATTCCTTCCCTATGATATTTTACTATATCTCATCTATCTTATTGTGTGTGTGTATGCTAGTGTGTGTATGCTAGGGTGTTTGTATGTCTGTGTGTGGACGTGTACCTGTATCTGTCTATTTATATTAGCTGTTAAGATGATCACAATTTCCTAATTTATATTTAATTTGCTGTTTTATCATTTTCGCAAATGTTTAGATATTTCTGTAACAAAGTTATAAATCTTATATTGTATACCGGGGCCCTGCTTACAAGCAACCTGCTTATTAAGGGTATCCCTCCATGTTTATGTTTATATTGTTATTTTAATACAATGTGTCAATACTATGTTATATTTGTTCTTTTTTTAAAGATGAAAAATAAATTGAAATTGAATTGAATTGAATTGAAAAATTGAATTGAAATTGAATTGAAATTGAATTGAAATTGAATTGAAATTGAATTGAAATTGAATTGAAATTGAATTTAAATTGAATTGAAATTGAAATTGACAGTAAAACATAATTCATCAATATTGTACACCTTTCATGTCAAGTAGCTTAGGCCTAAAAAAAAGAAGATGTTGTATGGCCCTTTAGGTGCCAAAACATGGGTCAGTTGATCGGAACTCTTTTTTTTCTTAAAAATCCTTTTTTTTTTCTTTTTCTCCCTCTTGGGGCTGAGATTTCCCAGTTTTTAATGCTTTAATATTTGTTTTCTCTCAAAAAACGGTAACAAAAACAATTTTTTTTTTTTAAATTGTATGTTTCATGTATTTCGGGTTAATTGCAATGATGTCTACAATGTTGAATACCTGGACTGTTTTTACAGATTCTACAAATTGTATGTTACATGTATCTCAGATTAATTACAATGTCTATAATGCTTGGATACTTGGGCTGTTTTTACAGAGTCTACAGTTGGTATTGATATTTCCCTAACTCTCTTCCTATCCCCTTCCTTCTCTCTCTCTCTCTCTCTCTCTCTTTCTCTCTCTCTCTCTCTTTCTCTCTTTCTCCTTTTCTTTTCTTCCCTCTCTCCCCTATCTTACTCTTTTCTCTCTCTATGCTCTCTTGGGAATTTCTTTATTGTATGTTTCATGTATTTCGGGTTAATTGCAATGATGTCTACAATGTTGAATACCTGGACTGTTTTTACAAATTCTACAGATGGTATTGATATTTCCCTAACTTTCTTCCTATCCTCTTCCTTTTCTCTTTCTCTCTCTCTCTCCCTCTCTCCTCTCCTTTCTTATTTTCTCCCTCTCTCTTCCTCTATCTTACTCTATTCTCTTACTATGCTCTCTTGGGAATTTCTTTATTGTATGTTACTTGTACCTTCTCAATACTTTAAATTTTAAAAATTATTCTTTAGCTGACATATTCCCCTCTTTTCACTATTGATCTTTTTTAAACCCAGTCTTATGCATTTTAATTTTCTTTTATTGGACTCTCGGTCTGTACCTGATTTAGATTTTGCACAGCTCGAGAGCCCTCTTTTGACGTAATTGTAATGATTGTATTGATCTTGCAAGCCTCTTTTTTTAAAGGTTCACCAGGCTAACGCTGTGGGTCTGGTTGGCTGTCAGTCCCCTGGGATAACCCATTATCAAAGAATTTATCAGCTGTCACTACACATCAGTTAGAATGTTTGAGACTTTGAGATGTTAACGGAAAGTTGTTTTTATTTCTTTGTTCAAAAGGCTAGGTTTCTTGATGTATCTAGCACAATTTGAGGCTGAATATTGGGGTACTTACTGCAGTATTTATTACATTTCATTATTTATACATGTTTTGTAAATATTCGAAAGTGAATATTTTTATTATTGTCAAAGGTTGGCTACATGTATGACATTTTGCATAACTCTGTAGTATGAAATAACAGTACTGTATCTAAGAGTTTCATCTGCCCTCTACCTGCCCCTTCATTGGCCCAACAAAATAATTTTGTAAAAAATTCTTATAATCATGTAAAACAAGAGGAGAAGTGGGGGGGGGGGGGGGGGGGGGGGGGGTTTCATTACCAAAAATTCACTTCAGAGACAGATATAGAAATATGCAGTATGTATTCCTAAACATATTTTGTTAAAAGGAACTAACAAAATAACAAAATGCTATTAGGTTAGTCCCATACAAAATATGCTAGTTATTTGACATTTAAAATTATTAACAATTTACAATATTTACAGAAAAAGGTTACATTTAAATCAAAATTTGATTTTTTTCTTCTGTTTTTGTCCATGTGGGAATTTACTGATGGAGGATTTATTTTTTTAATTATTTTTTATAACCATATCCTTGAATTGATTCTTTTTACAGATTTTTACAAAATTGCCTATGTCAAAAAATTATTCATATAGGCAATACTGTCAAGCTTTCTATTTTTTTTATATCATATTTATTTGCATGAATCGAGATGATATGTGTCGGACAAGACTTTATTGCATGTAATGTAGGCCCTTCTGTCCACTTTAATTTTGTTGTTTTTAAACAATGTTATATGTGTAGTAGATATATCAATGGCAATTATGATTCTTTTGATTTCAATACAGTGTATAATTGTATGTATCATCATAGCAATTAATGCAATATATCATAGTCACTTTGTATGCTCTCTTCTCAATTCTCTCATTCATTGCCATTAGTGTATTTAAGAATCAGTTCTCAATATTTTGTGAAAGGTTCAAGAGGAGAGAGAGAGAGAAAGAGAGAGAGAGAGAGAGAGAGAGAGAGGAGAGAGAGAAGAGAGAGAGAGAGAGAAAGAGAGAGAGAAAAGGGAAGAGAGAGAGAAAAGAGAGGGGAAGAAAGAGAGAAAGAGAGAGAAAGAGAGAGAAGAGAGAGAGAGGGAAAGGGAGAGATTGAGAGAGAAAGGGAAGAGAGAGAGAGAGAGAGAGAGGGAGAGGGAGAGATTAAGAGAGAAAGGGAAGAGAGAGATAGAGAGAGAGAGAGAAAGGGAAGAGAGAGAGGGAGAGGAAAGAGAGAGAGGGAAGAGATAGAGAGAGAGAGAGAGAGAGAAAAAAAAAGGGAAGAGAGAGAGAAGAGAGAGAGGAGGAGGAGGTCCCGTTATAACAAGTCATATACGTCTCTTAAGCTAAAATAATTACACCTCCGGGTATTGTTGTGATTGCCAGGTGAGTTCAGATAGGCTGTGAAAAATAACATAAACCCACACAATATAATTTGGAATATATCTTTTCTCAAATACAAATACCTCACATTACATTAAAGGTAATACAAAGTTTTGGTATGGGGTCATGAATTTGGTTCAAATGAACATATCGGAAGCATATGAGATCCTACAATATTCAGTGATCGTTGTCGCGGTTGAAATCGAGTCTAAAGTTATGAAAATATAAATAATTAACGCTTTATGCTGTACAACTCCCTCTCAATGTCAAGATATTAATTTAGCTATAAAACAATGTTTCTTGACTAAAATCGACCGACTAGCTATTCCTGTTTGGAAATTATATATCACATTTACATATTCTGAGATGTTCATGGTTGCAGCTACCATTGTACGGCCGTATGGGCGCTATTTGAAATTTATCAAAATTTACCGGGAGCACCGGTAAATTTGTATATTCAATTTTTCTCGAAAGCAGAAGTGTTTTAGAGGCTAAGTTTTCTAGTGCTTCAATACATCCACATGGGCATCCAAATGTATCAAAATTGTAAAGAATCACTATCCACTCAATTTTCAAAATTTCCCAAAACTTTGTATTACCTTTAACATACCGTCATCATATATCAATCTATTCTTGTTATCATGCGTAATCACATCACGTGACCCTATCACCATAGAGAGAGGGGAGAGAGAGAGAGAGAGAGAGGGGGGGGGGGGGGGGGGAGGGGAGGGGGAGATAGAGATAGAGAAGGAGAGAGAGAGAGAGGTCCCGCTATAACAAGTCATACCAAATAGTTAAACCCATTTCACATCAAAGTATAATGGTGTGATTGCCAGGTGCATGCGTTCCGACCGGCTGTAAAATAAAACATACGACCCAAACAGTACAGTTCTCAAAATTTAATTTCTCAGTTGTGGATACCTTACTTTGCAGAAGTATAAAAGAAAGCGGAAGCAAGGATGATGAAGTTATTACTTGTTTTAGCTACTGTTTTCCAGGGTTACAATCGAACGATCTCTTTAAAGATAAAGTTGAGTTCTGGTCATGCGATTGCATTGTGAAAGAAACGTTGTGGAATCGATCAGAAAAGGTTGATCATCTAGCATTAAAGTATTGGTGCGTACTGCAAGGTTATGGAATCATCAAAATGATAAGAAATCTGGCCCAGTCTTGGTAAAGTTACAAGCACTGTACACAGAAATATGTATATGGGACTACACGAACATGTGGCATAAAAATCTGTCCCGATTTTTATGATGTTACATGCCATATTTAGAATAATAAGGCATTTGAAGAGCCATGCTTTTCAGGGAACATTTTTTATCTGATGTTCTGCCACACTTGCATAATACAATGATAACGCTCACAAATTATTTGTCATCTCTTCCCAGAACTCAATCTTCTCTTTAAGTTCATGATTTACTACATTGATGATGAAGGCTAATAGTGGTATTATGTAGTCAGTGGGCACTTATTAGGCCTAGTGAAAGGTATTTCTTGATTTTTTTATCGATAAGGCCACAGCAAATAATATGTAGGACCATGTGGACACCTAATTTTTCTTTATTTGTTTCCTTCATAAATTTGTGTGCACTTTTTTCTCGGTTAAACCGTTTCATATTGAGTAATTTCACGTCTTCTTTTCATGTCACTAAATTTTCGTATTTCACAATATTTGGGTGGAGGACAATCTTCTAACTTCAAGACCTCTCTGGTGAATGAGAAGAGCCTTTGTATACACAATCTCTTGTGAGCTTGTTGCGAAGCTTAACCGAAGCGTACTATACATAATACATAATATCCTGAAATGGTATTTTCGTTTTCTCAATTTTCTACCGATAGCACAAGCAAATTCTCAGAGAAGAAAAGGTTTATAACTCTTTGTGTAAGATTACAATGCATGAGAAGGCAAGCAACCGATAAGCAGAAATCTGCATTGGATCTGGCTGCAAAATATTTCTATAAGCAGTTTGCGTGTTTGCCAGGTATAATGGGGTTTATTTTTAGAAATATTGTATCACCAAATGTTGCGACAGATGCTTTCTGTGCAGTTTTGTTAGAAAATACGCCTTCAAAAAGGCTGCAATAAAATTAGAAAGATGAAAATAGTATTTGTAAGAGCGCAGGGTTTATCAGCTTATTACAGTCTGCTATGAGAAAAATATTTGTTGAATTAACATATCCAACCTGTCTACATTCCAAGCACTATCGTTCTCGATGGCGTTTAATTAGAAATGAAAAGGGGTCGC